GTCATTAAAAATTGCATATTTTGGCTTTAATATTGATTCACTTATATGGTCTTTGCATCGGAATTAAACATATTTATTCTAAAACCAGTTGTTGGCATGACACGGGTTATGTTCTTCTCATATATTTTATGACGGTATAATACTAAACCCCTAACAGGAGGGATTGTGCCTGATATTCATATGATGAAGACATAATCTTTCAATCAGTTTAATTGAGGTCTGGAGCTGGCATGTCAGTAACTGCTAGTAGTCTGTTGTTATTTATGTATTATTGTCTTTTTGTTTATTTTCTTTTGATTCCTATTCTGACATCGGACTCGGACTTCTCTTGAACTGAGTTTTACTGTGCGTACTGTTGTACGTTTGTTTTTTCTACATTGGCTAGAGGTATAGGGGGAGGGTTGAGATCTCAAAAAACCTGTTTAACCCCGCCGCATTTTTGCGCCTGTCCCAAGTCAGGAGCCTCTGGCCTTTGTTAGTCTTGTATCATTTTTAATTTTAGTTTCTTTTGTATCATTTGGAGTTTAGTATGACGTCCATTATCACTGAACTAGTATACATATTTGTTTAGGGGCCAGCTGAAGGACGCCTCCGGGTGCGGGAGTTTCTCGCTGCATTGAAGACCCATTGGTGGCCTTCGGCTGTTGTCTGCTCTATGGTCGGGTTGTTGTCTCTTTGACACATTCCCCATTTCCATTCTCAATTTTATATAGAAAATTTCCAAAATCCTGAGGTAAAAAATCTTAATAGTCAACACGTCATCATAACTGTAACACATCCATAGCTAGAGGGTTACCGGGTATATGAATGTTTCTACCAAAAAATACTCTAAATTGTTCAAGGGATTCAGCAAAAATCAAAACTGGAATTTTAGAGTTACTGTGAAACATCAAACTAACGGCTGAGCGAAAGCAAATGTGGGTCATATTAATTCAAAGGATTCGTACATAATTGACGGTCTGGTATCTATGAGGAGTTATTACTACCACAGGGTCGATGCCACTGCTGGTGGACGTTTCGTCCCCGAGGGTATCACCAGCCCAGTAGTCAGAAATTTTTTGTTGACATGAAATACCAATTATATGTTCATATTGTTTTGTAAATTTACTGCTCATAAAAGTGATGTAAAAGATACCAATGAGACATTCAAACTCATTCCGGGTAGGTCACATTCGGGGGAAAGAGATATATAATGTTGAAACACTAAGCTTTGTCTATCCACGGTATAGATTGCCTTATAGTTGTCTCAAGTTCAACTTTTCAAAATTTTCGGTGTTTAATGCTCTTCAACATCGTATTCCTCTTAACCTTCTTAATGTTGTGACTTGAACGCCATTGATTAGTCTTGTGTAGACAAAACGTGCGTTATCGTACATAATTGTACGTATTGTAGGCCTGATATAATTCTTATTTATTCAATTGGATTCAATCTACCCCATGTCCGTGTGCAATATAATAATATATTTGTCTGCCTCATCCTTCATAAAAGAAAATATCGCATTTTAGGAAGATCAGTTCATAACAAATCTGATTCAAACAAAAAATATCTTAATCTGACGATAACAAGAATCTTGTTTTTTTTTGACAACATTTTATTCAATGTTGGTGTTTTTCAACACAAATAGGCACTCCTATATGAACATCTATGTTCCTCTGTACAACGACTCTATTTGTATCGGGCAGACTATACAGGTTTTTCTTTAAAAACAAAAATTGCAATATCCTCTATCTTCAAGTTTCGTTATAAAGATTATGTCCTTTCATGCAATAATTCAAAGTCTAGTGACTATGTTGATCCCATCGATCTGACTAAGCTTGAAATAAAGGATTACACAGGTGTAGTTAGAATTTCTTCAGGTCATGACTTAGAAATTGACAATGAGAGTCATTTGAATACTAAACTTTATTACAAATTTGACTTAGATATTCCCACTTAGATAACCGACACAACTAAACGGACGCCCCCCTCTGACAAGGGTTTACTGCCGGTCGAAAGAAGACCAAAGTGGCGATATTTTTAATCCCAGTCAAACTCTGGGGACGATTTCATTGACAAGTGGTTGCTGCTTATAAGGAGGTTATAAATGATAAAGTTCAATTCACCTACTCGAAAATTGATCACACGTTATAATGATATTTTCAATCTTAATGGACATATAGACGTCTGTAACAAATGACAACGAATATTTTCTATTTGTCGGAAACACAATTTCATCCGTTTTCCATTTTACGACTACCATCTAAGATTGATTTATACCCGGAGTTGATCAGATATGAGCAACAAGACGCGTGTCGCTACTAGATCAGGTCGTGTTTACCCTTTCGGAACACCGGAGATCATCAACGGTTTTCGTTGATGTATCTGTATTTTACCGTGTGGAGTTTTATGGACTGTTGTTCATTCTTTTGGTGTTATGTGACTTTATCAGAATTAAAATTTTTGTTGCTCTTCTTCTGAGTGTGTTCATTAAATGCATCATGACTAGAATATATATCTCTGTTATGCCAAGTTATGTCGTCATAGTTACGATGTGTAGCCATTATAATGTTATTGCATTTGCCTTGACGAAACCCGAACAAGTTTCGCGATTTAATTGATATGGTAAATATTGCGCAAATGTGACATCGGGAACACCATATCTATCATATAAGTTTTATTTTTGGAAATGCCCACCTTATTGTATATTTTTTACTATATATGAGTTTGATTGTTCCTTTGATATCTTTCGCATCTCTTGTACTTCATTATAAAAATAAAGAGATGTGGTAGATGAGACATCTAATACGGCCAATTAATTGTTAGTTAAGTTAATTTCTTGAACTGATTTTTATTGTATAATTGTTATATACCATTGGTAGTTCAAAATTAATAGATCTCGACAAACTAATTGAAATTTGCCATATATCCAAAGGCTGGACCCTCCTCAGTTGCCTGATGTCATATCTTCATGTTTTTGTTGTATTGATGTCATTTTATTCAATCGCCTACAATTTGTATTTTACAGGTATAACTAAATAATGCCAGAAATGGACGCCACAAAATCTGAGAATGAATACCTCATTGCAGAAACGATTTACAGTTTTCTCGTTGTGTTTTTGTACAGCCATTTGTATGCACTCATTGAAACACTCAACTGTTCTAGCCTTTCATTTGATAATTTTGACAATATACATGTATTCATAATTTCCCATTTCCATTTTCAATTTTATAATTGTATAAAAGACCATGCTGTATTATTGATGACTATATAATATTTGATTCATTAAATCATCATCATTCTTTTACATTTTCCTTCTTTTCTTCTTTTGTATAGAATAATACTGATTTAACATAATTTGACACAAATGGCATGCTTATATAGAAAACATCCAAAATCCTGAGGTGAAAATCTTAAAAGTCAACATGTCTGTAACACATCCATAGCTAGAGGGTTATATGAGTGTTTCTACCAAAAAATACTCTAAATTGTTCAAGGGATTCAGCAAAAATCAAAACTGGAATTTTAGAGTTACTGTGAATTTGTGACAGCGACATTTTCCTCTTTGTTTTATTTCGTGGAAATTCAAACTTTATCTAAAAGCAAGCGACTATTGTTCTCGAAATTGTTAGCTTACATGTTGAGAAGTTAATCCATTTTAATCCTAGCATTGTCCATTTCTTGTTATCATATATATGTTTTTTTAATTGTATTATTTGTTTGAATCATTAAGTGACAAATTTCATTATTACATGTAGTTATGATTAAGTAAGATTACGTAATTCATATTATATCGTTTCTATGTAAATGGTCAGTTGGATACCAGCGGTCAAGCTGTACGGACGCCGTGCATTTACAGTGACATTCATTGTGTTTAGTATAGAACATTTATTGAAATTACCATTTGTTTTATCTTTTCGGAATATTACCGTTGAACTTTTATTGTAATTAATGTATTGCACTATTGGAGAAGTTATATATAAACCATCGTAAAGCTTAACTTAGTTTTGTTGACTTTAGACAGTGACTTTCCCCCAGAATTCTAAATATAACAGGAACGACGAAAACCCCTGTTATAGCATCAAAATAACAGCTGAGCGAAAACTAATGTGGATCATATTAATTCAAAGGATTCGTACATAATTGACGGCCTGGTATCTATGAGAAGTTATTACTACCACAGGGTCGATGCCACTGCTGGTGGACTTTTCGTCCCCGAGGGTATCACCAGCCCAGTAGTCAGAAATTTTTTGTTGACATGAAATACCTATTATATGTTCATATTGTTTTGTAAATTTACTGCTCATAAAAGTGATGTAAAAGATACCAATGGGACATTCAAACTCATTCGGTAGGTCACATTCGGGGGAAAGAGATATATAATGTTGAAACACTAAGCTTTGTCTATCCCCGGTATAGATTGCCTTATAGTTGTCTCAAGTTCAACGTTTCAAATTGTCGGTGTGTAATGCTCTTCAACATCGTATTCCGCTTGACCTTCTTAATGTGGTTTGAACGCCATTGATTAGTTTTGTGTAGACGAAACGTGCGTTTGTTGTACATAATTGTACGTATTGTAGGCCTGAAATAATTATTATTTTTTTAATTGGATTCAATCTACCCCATGTCCGTGTGCAATATAATAATATATTTGTCTGCCTCATCCTTCATAAAAGAGAATATCGCATTTTAGGAAGATCAGTTCATAACAAATCTGATTCAAACAAAAAACATCTTAATCTGAGTGACGATGACAAGAAGCTTGTTTTTTTGACATTTTATTCGATGTTGGTGTTTTTCAACACACAATTGGCACTCCTATATGAACATCTATGTTCCTCTGTACAACGACTCTATTTGTATCAGGCAGACTAATATCCTCTATCTTCAAGTTTCGTTATAAATATTATGTTCTTTCACGGAATAATTCAAAGTCTAGTGACTATGTTGATCCCATCGATTTTACTAAGCTTGAAATAAAGGATTACACAGGTGCAGTTTGAATTTCTTTAGGTCATGACTTAGAAATTGACAATGAGAGTCGTTTGAATACTAAACTTTATTACAAATTTGACTTAGATATTTCCATTGTGAATTTAACACTTTTTGTTTGTTGGTTGATTAACGTTCAGTGACAGATATTTCATGCATGTTCAGGACTAAAACAGATTTATAATAAATACAATAGGTTGGTCCTGTAATAGAAGCCGTCCGGGATGAAGGTCGGGTTAATTTAGACTGCCACTGAAAAATGAGGGTATACAGGATAGGGACAGATTGAGAAATATTTCCTTGCAACAGGTCACCTACATACCCCTCAAAAAGTTGTTGCAAGGGTTATTAGCGTGTCACTCTCTGTGCACGTGGTATCGGATATAATGTCTCCGTTCTGACCGGACGTGGCTGCATACTTGTACATCCCGCACAACTAAACGTACGCCCCTACTCTGACAAGGGTTTATTGCCGGTCGGAAGAAGACCAAAGTGACGGGTTTTTTTTACAACATTTTATTCAATGTTGGTGTTTTTTAACACACAATTGGCTCTCCTATATGAACACCTATGTTCCTCTGTACAACGGCTCTATTTGTATCAGGCAGACTATACAGGTTTTTCTTTAAAACAAAAATTACAATATCCTCTATCTTCAAGTTTCGTTATAAAGATTATGTCCTTTTATGGAATAATTCAAAGTCTAGTGACTATGTTGATCCCGTCGATCTTACTAAGCTTGAAATAAAGGATTACACAGATGTAGTTTGAATTTCTTCAGGTCATGACTTAGAAATTGACAATGAGAGTCGTTTGAATACTAAACTTTATTACACATTTGACTTAGATATTCCCATTGTGAATTTAACACTTTTTTTTTGTTGGTTGATTAACGTTCAGTGACAGATATTTCATGCATGTTCAGGACTAAAACAGATTTATAATAAATACAATAGGTCAGTCCTGTAATAGAGGCCGTCCGGAATGAAGGTCGGATTAATTTAGACTGCCACTGAAAAATGAGGGTATACAGAATAGGGACAGAAATATTTCCTTGCAACAGGTCACCTACATACCCCTCAAAAAGTTGTTGCAAGGGTTATGAGCGTGTCACTCTCTGTGCACGTGGCATCGGATATAACGTCCCCGTTCTGACCGGACGTGGCTGCATACTTGTACATCCCGCACAATTAAACGTACGCTCCCCCTCTGACAAGGGATTACTGCCGGTCGAAAGAAGACCAAAAGGAAGATATTTATAATCCCAGACAAACTCTGAGGACGATTTCATTGACAAATGGTTGCTGCTTATAAGGAGGTTATAAATGGTAAAGTTCAATTCATCTACTCGAAAATTGATCACACGTTATAATGATATTTTCAATCTTAATGGACATATACACGTCAATAACAGATGACAACGAATATGTTCTATATGTTGGAAACACAATTTCATTCGTTTTCCAGTTTATGACTGCCATCTTAGATTGATTTATCCTCGGAGTTGATCAGATATGAGTAACAAGACGCGTGTCGCTATAGAACAGGTCGTGTTTACCCTTTCGGAACACCGGAGATCATCAATGGTTTTCGCTGATGTATCTGTATTTTACCGTGTGGAGTTTTATGGACTGTTGTTCGTTCTTTTGGTGTAATGTGACTTTATTAGAATTATAAGTTGTGTTGCTCTTCTTAGTGTTTCTATTAAATGCACAATGACTAGAATATATATCTCTGTTATGCCAAGTTATGTCGTCATAGTTACGATGATTTGTAGCCATTATAATGTGATTGCATTTGCCTTGTCGAAACCCGAACAAGTTTCGCGATTTAATTGATATGGTAAATATTGCGCAAATGTGACATCGGGAACACATTATCTATCATAAAAGTTTTATTTTTGGAAATGCCCACCTTATTGTATATTTTTACTATATATGAAAATAGAACCATATCAAATAAGCTTGGTGACGTAATAGGTAAGATAAAAAGATAACCCGAGTAACCAAATATCAAAATAAAATTAGTCAAACGTGTTTGAAGCAGATATCGAGGTCAACTTGAGTTTGTCATAGGGATAATTAGTAAACAGTTATTAGATATTCAAATCTATATCGCTAAGGTCAACGAACTTGCTTCATGGGTCTTTGTCTAAGATTAACTTGGTTTAAACACTGAAAACTCTTTGACCAGCTCTTGTTTGAATTATAGATTAATTGGTGGTTGTTTATCTTCTAGTACATGTATAACAGAATTGGCCTATGGGAAGAAAACGTATTGAAAGTTGCGTGTTTATCTTCTAGTACATGTATAACAGAATTGGCCTATGGGAAGAAAACGTATTGAAAGTTGCGTGTTTATCTTCTAGTACATGTATAACAGAATTGGCCTATGGGAAGAAAACGTATTGAAAGTTGCGTGTTTATCTTCTAGTACATGTATAACAGAATTGGCCTATGGGAAGAAAACGTATTGAAAGTTGCGTGTTTATCTTCTAGTACATGTATAACAGAATTGGCCTATGGGAAGAAAACGTTTTGAAAGTTGCGTGTTTATCTTCTAGTACATGTATAACAGAATTGGCCTATGGGAAGAAAACGTATTGAAAGTTGCGTGTTTATCTTCTAGTACATGTATAACAGAATTGGCCTATGGGAAGAAAACGTTTTGAAAGTTGCGTGTTTATCTTCTAGTACATGTATAACAGAATTGGCCTATGGGAAGAAAACGTTTTGAAAGTTGCGTGTTTATCTTCTAGTACATGTATAACAGAATTGGCCTATGGGAAGAAAACGTATTGAAAGTTGCGTGTTTATCTTCTAGTACATGTATAACAGAATTGGCCTATGGGAAGAAAACGTTTTGAAAGTTGCGTGTTTATCTTCTAGTACATGTATAACAGAATTGGCCTATGGGAAGAAAACGTATTGAAAGTTGCGTGTTTATCTTCTAGTACATGTATAACAGAATTGGCCTATGGGAAGAAAACGTATTGAAAGTTGCGTGTTTATCTTCTAGTACATGTATAACAGAATTGGCCTATGGGAAGAAAACGTATTGAAAGTTGCGTGTTTATCTTCTAGTACATGTATAACAGAATTGGCCTATGGGAAGAAAACGTATTGAAAGTTGCGTGTTTATCTTCTAGTACATGTATAACAGAATTGGCGGGAAGAAAACGTATTGAAAGTTGCGTGTTTATCTTCTAGTACATGTATAACAGAATTGGCGGGAAGAAAACGTATTGAAAGTTGCGTGGTTTCGGCTGTAAAGAGGTTTAACATTCAGAAAAGGATCTCTATCTTTGGTTGGTCGCGAATAATTAGAAATGAATATTTATCCATTTTAAGTTTATCATTTATTTCATCCATTCTCACATCCTTATCTATTATACAGCTTCCCTTTTCTGGTACTGACAAAGAAAATGAGTATTGTACACATGCTATAGGGGTGGATTGTACATTTTTGAAGGGGTGGACAGGGGTTAAGGAACATGGGAATGAGGGGTGGGAAGCGGGAGGGTAGTAAGAATCAGGGGCAGTCGGGAACTGGGGGAAGAGGGGGGAGTAAAAATTGTGATATTCTAGGAAATTCTTTTGACCGATTTTCGTTTGGGAGTAAGGGCGGAGGTAAGTAGGAGTTATGGTGAGGGAATTGGGAATCAGGGACATCCTGTCCAACCCCTCGTTTTTTGTTTTAAGTTGTGTTATTGGGTTACGATCTCCCTGAAGTAAACTTCTTCAAATTCATCAAGAATTTCAAATCAGCTGTTCAACCAACGAAAGTTCGGGATAAGCATCACAATACAACAATTAAGGCTTCGAATAAGACAGGCACACATAAGCATAAAAAGGTTCAATCGGCGAAAACAACGTCATCGAACACTCGGTTCTTACTGTGACATAAAAACATAAGCATTGTGACATAGGAAATTTAAGGGAAAGTGCACGAATTCGAAAGTCGTCTATAGAAAAGGGATACTAAAATTGTACTCGTTGTTATTCTGTATTGAGATAATAAATCCCATCAAACACGTGACAAGCACTTCCGATTAATTCAATATTGGTGAATGAATTTTCGGTAATGTCAAAAACGACAATTAATTTCCCTCTTCCCATATAAATATCACATGACGTTTTTAGTTCCAGGCATGTGTCCTTTCCTCCATCTTGTAAATGACGAAACTTCGTAACCAAGGCAACAGCAACTGCCCCAGTACCACAAGCCTCGGTTTCACCATCAACACCCCTCTCGTATGTCCTAACGAAAAGATTTCCGTCAGATTTCTTTTCAACAAAATTAACATTTGAACCATTCGTATCACCATATTTCCCGTAACGAAGTTCCTTTCCTTCATTTATGACGTCATATTTGTTTAAATCATTAACATATCGCACGTGATGAGGCGATCCAGTATTAACAAAAAAGTTCTGGTCATCTATTGTTTCAATATCATGGAAGTATTTATTGCCAAAGCTTACAGCATAGGTACCATTATCCTGAATATATCTTCCAATGTGTAAACCATCATATGCTACGAAATCACAGACGGTACCGAAAAGTCCCAATTTTCGTGCAAAAGCTAAACCGCAACGACTGCCATTACCACAAAGAGAACCAGGGTTCCCATCAGCATTGTAATAATCAATAACAAAGGAGTGGTCCACACATCTCTTAAGAATGACTATGCCATCTGCACCAATTCCGTATTTCCGGTCACACATCAAATGTCGTATCTCTCTAGAAAGCAATAATACTTCTGGTGTATTGTCCAATAATATGAAGTCATTCCCGTGTCCGTGATATTTAGAAAACGAAATTTTGTGTTGGTGTGCTGACGTCATCTCTCTCCTATAACGTAAAAAATGTCTTGAAATTACGTGTACAAGTTTGAAGATGGGTTGTGAAATATATCATTTACATAGTTTATCAAATCTCGTACATACATCTATTCAAATATTATAGAATACTATTTGCTTACGTAATCAAAGCCACGTTCTACTTTAGTAATTTATTCACACACTGGTCCGTTCGTACAACGATGATTTGAAAGTTCACTACATTGTCGAATGTTATCAACGAAGTTATCATATTTTGATCATGGTATGGATATACATGTACCAACTATGGACACATGGTTTACAATACAGTTCATGATGCTTCTGTATAATGGCATTAATTTGTGATAAAGCAACTGAAAAAAAATGATTACCAACATGTTTATGATGCTTTGTGCAAGGGAACGAACATTTGATTTTCTAGGAAGGTTTTTTGACATGTGAACAATTATTTCTTGCAATAAAGTAAATGAAAATAAGATAACATAACGTTTAGAAAATGGGTCTCAATTTCCACAAAATATAACAATTGAAAATGTGATTTTCCATTAATAATTCATAATGATTAAAATTTCATTTATCTAAAATATAAAACCTAAAGTGACTGAATTCCTGAAAAGTAACTTTAAATTCTTAAGCAACAAAAATGAATGAGTTGCAAGACAATCAACAACATTGATCGGCAGTGCTCGTTTCGAGTTTTTAGTGAAATCGTTGCTTGGTAAAATCAGTAGTATTTAGTCTCTACAAACCATTATCACAGTACTCCCACTTGCGAGCATCACTGATGAGTCTTATATAGACGAAACGCGCGTCTGGCGTAACAAATTATAACCTGGTATCTTTGATACATTTATGATTAATTATTTGATCGTTGATGTTTAACGCTACTTTAAACACTGTATAAGATACATGTATATCATGGCGGTCAGGGTTTTTTTTGTAGGAAGATGGAGTGCCCGGAGAGAACTACTGATCTTCGGGAAAAGAAAAAGACTTGCAATCCTAGTTCATATAGAGTCCAACATATCTACCACGGGCGAGGTTCTAACTCACTACCTCAGAGGGATGCATTTTAAAGCAGCATTAGCTGCAAAAAGTAAAATAAAAAAAATACTGAATTCCAAGGAAAATTCAAAACGGAAAGTCCCTTATCAAATGGCAAAATCAAAAGCTCAAACACATCAAACGAATGGAAAACAACTGTAATATTCCTGACTTGGTACAGGCATTTCCTCATGTAGAAAATGGTGGATTAAACCTGGTTTTATATCTAGCTAAACCTCTCACTTGTATATGACAGTCATATAGAATTCCATTACATTGACAACAATGTGTGAGCAAAACATACAGACATAATAGGTAAAAATGTCAAAAATTGGGGAACAGCAGTCAACATTGTGTTATAATCTTAATCACTATAAAAACAAATAACTATTTCAACAAAGAAAAACAAAATGGAATATAGACACTCTATAGACAAAGTACATAAGCAAAAATGAAAGACAAGAATACAAAAATGACCATAGCACAATAACACAATGGCGGGATGTATAAATTCCTAGCCACGTCAAAAGTATATACCAAAAATGGATTAAACAGTAAAGGTTAAGAATATACAAAGACAAATAAAAAGACCACTATAACACGTACTTGAGATGATAACATTGAGATTATATTTTTAGGAGATATTCAAATTTATGATACCGTATTTACTCTTACTCTCAAATTTGATTTATAACGTATATCAGAATTGTAAATGTTTTATAGGGTACACTAAATATTTCGTAATTTCGAGCGTATTTTATGTATGTACAATAGTATAAGGACGATTGTCCTAGGTCTGTTTGATTTGATTTCATAGATAACAAAACACATTAACATGTATAAGATTTGTTTCGAGCCAAGTAATATACGAAATCTGTCGGCTGGTGGCTTTCTAGTCTATTTTTGTTGCCTCCTGTGACAGTCTTAACTTTTTTTCAATAACTCCACATGGTAAGCACGTGCGCAAGAGATCTCCAACTGAGATCACATCATATACTGTATGAATACGAAGTATAATTGTCTTGCAATGTATCAGCAATGTTTTGGGGCTTATTTTGACAAAGTTTACCAAACTGACTGCTAATAGCGATTTTTTTGTCAATATACCGTTGTTGTGAATGTTTGAAAAAAAAATATTTATATGTTTTTGAAATTAAACTGTCAAAATTGTAGCTAATACAGCATGAAATGTGTATCTTGATTTTTTTGTATAGATTATATTTTAAGGAGATGTTGACATACTGCAAAAGAATATTTGATTTGTTTTCATTTTCTTTTAAATTTAAAGTCAAATGAAACGGGTTTTTTGTAATTTTAATGATTTCGAAATTATTAAACCAATGGCATGCATATATTCTAAATTAAGTCTTGTGTGCACGTTTTTTTTATATATGTTTATTACGAATCTATAACGACAAATAATATTTCATTCAGTGATTGTTGATCGCAGGCTAATCAGTCTGACCAAAGTCAGCGTGCACTATCGGTGTTACTGGCTTTAGTCAGAAAGCAAGCTATAAATCAACTTTCGAATTTGTTGCCGAAGTTTACCGGATCTTGACATTGATTAACAATCAACACAGAGCGTATGGAGCACGTGACAAATAAGTGAATTCAAAGAGCCGTAATTTTTGTTTTATTTTCCATGCGTTCCCATTTGTTAATTAAACTTTTCCTTAACAGTTGTTAAATGATTTGTTGTAATAAAATTGTTCTTTAATAATCAGCTGTTACTATTTACCTTAGAACATACTCGACCATTCTCGTCCATTGGAAAATCAGTATTTTCCCTTCTATTTTTCATAAGCCTCGGACTTTTCATATTCATAAAATATGACCAAGTATTATCTAACCTATAACTCCAGTGCACGTTTATTTACATTTTTTCATCAAGGTTTTTCCATCGCGCTTGCGCTGTGCGGTTGCCGAAGGACTAACGGTAGGTCTCAGAGTTAAAGTCACTGCATATGTAACATAAAATATTTCATTATGAAATAGTGTCCTTTTCCAAGAAATGTTGTCACCTCCTTCTGGACAATATTTCACTATGAAATTCTGTCCATGACAATATTTCACTATGAAATACTGTCCATGACAATATTTCACTATAGAATACTGTCTATAATGACATTATTTCATTGTGAAATTCTGTCCATGACATTCATACAACATCACTTTCTTTTATATAGAGAGGAACAGCATATTATGAAAAAAGAGACTTAAGGGCATACACGAGAAAGCCCTCTTTACTCTCAAACTCTAAAACTTTAAAGTCAAAGTGCTAAATATGCATTAAACATTAAAACAAAACAACAACCACTGACAAGGTTCCTAAATGGGACCTCCATATAAACCTGTTGCAAGGAGGAGATGCCTTGACACCACTGACAAGGTTCCTTACCATGACCTCCATATAAGGGTCATTATAAAAAAAAACATGCAAAACTGTGTTATTTTGGTCTTTTTAAGTCACAGACATGAACATATATCAAAATAACACTTGTATATGTTAGATATGAATGTTTTGTGATGCACTATATACAGTTTACAGTATGAAATTTTATACACTGTAAAAACGGCGTTTAGAATTGAAACACATCTACAACATGTTTAGATCTAAACGTGTTTAGGAAAGCGTTTAGGATCTAAACGGATATTCATGTAAACACATTGAAACCTAAACATGTTTAGAATTTAAACGTGTTGCAGTTTTATTATCTGTGAATGTTATCAGTAAGCTAAACATTAAATAGCATCTAAACACTTCTGAAACACTTTCTTAAACACCTAAACACATTATACCACTTCATTACTGATTTCACCTTTTTACTCTATGTTCCTACATATTCCAACGTATTCTGTGACACTATCTCGGTTTTATTGAAATGAAAATTATGGAACAGATAACTATATTTACAAATCAGTCCCAAGTATGAGTCAATATATATGTTCCTGGTATGAGCTACTTATGAGAACAATTCATATCATCTTCCCCAACTGAGTTCCGCGGCCCTTTTTTGTGTTGTAAGATTATAGATTTACTATCAATTAAAATTTCTTTATGTTAAGCAATTACTTTCTTTTACCAAGGATTTGTATAGTATCACTATACAAATCCTTGCTTTTACTGAATCTTGATAGTATTTATAAGGAAGATATGAGTGAATATTTTCTCTAATTTCCGGAGTCGTTGTCCGACTATGATCTGATTTTATTTAACGAACAGAGTTATCTTCCTTGGTAATTTGATACAGACGCCTTCACACCCGCCAAAGACAAACAAAATTTAAAACAATGGATCCCATCGACCAATCAAATATATCTATGGACGATGCAACAGATACAGAAGATCTTGTTAGAATATTGACGGAATCAAAAGCCAGCTTAACAATTATTACAGCAGCGGAAGGTAAGCAAATCCAGATTTCGTAAAAAGGGGGGGGGGGGTGGGGCACAAAACAGGCTTAGTTAGGAATATGTGCATTAAACTGTTAACCTATATGTATCTCTTTAAGGTGTCCGGACCCCCTTCCCCTCATTGTTCTGACTCTGATATTGTCGATAGGAGCAAACATTTAATTCGGGGAAAGGGGGGGGGGAGGTCTTGACTTGACTCTTGTATCCTCGTCTCGTGGGTTTTCGTGCTATTAAGAATGCATTGTGACGTCGCTGTAAGACTTCAAAACAGAAAAATAAAATAGCCTTTCAAGACGTCATAATTATTTGGACTAGACAAAACTAGTACTGTTGTAGTTCACTGAATTTTCAGAAGTAACAGTCAGTCTATCATGTCTATGCACACATTTTAATGTATGTATCTTTGATTTTGTTAGTGAAACATCATTGAGTTTTTATTTACATACTGTATAGGTAACAGTATTCGTCCCTGAACATAAAATCATAGTTTCATGTATTTTAACTTTGCAAGAAATAAGATCCCAATGGCCCATAGTGCAACATCTTTTACACATATAAACACTGAAATTATAGTTACACTACATTTGTCAAAGAGAAACTAAGAATACCAAAAGAACATTCAAAATCATAAGTTGAAAATAAACTGACAATACCAAAGGATCGTTCAAACTCGTAAGTAAAAAATAAACCGACAAGTTATAAATATATTTTATTTAAACCTGTAAATAAATTTAATAATTTGTTTGTATGTATTTATAGGACTGTGACACAGTAGTGGGAATGAAATCCCTAGAATATAGATCAAATTGAAGAAAAGATCAGATATAAAACAACAAAGAAAGAAAAGGATGACTTAATTTCAAAAGCAGATGTAAGTAAAAATATATAAGTATATTATTAAGTAGCCAATAGAACTATAATACATTGTAATATGATTGAAAAATGAAGGTTAATTTATACTCTAGTATTATCCTGTTGAAAATAGAAAAATTGGTAATTCTAAAAAAAAATATATTATCAATAAGAGAAAAGGCTGTAGCTCTCAGAAATCGAGGATTTTGTTTTAAAAATATAAAAAACTTACATGCTATATTGTTCCCTTTTATTTATTTGTCTATTGATGTGTACATGGTTTAAAGTATTCTCTTTTTAACTACAATTTGTATTTTTCTTTTGCAAGAATCTTTTGAGAACCTTGTTTAGTGTATTTTGATATAAGAATAAGTGACTGTTGCACTACAAATGTACATGTACTTGAAGGTTTCATTTTTTCGTTTCAGTTTACAAAAGTTCACCTGACAACCATAAAGAAATGCTCACCAAGAGCCTTTATCATTCAAAAGAAGATTGTTCCGTAATGAACAATTCCTGTATGATAGGAGATGGACTGACAATTTCTGTTTTGTTGAGGATAAAATTCATGTGATTTTACATTTTCCTGTTAATGACTATATAGCTATCTATGGCAAATTCTTTTTATTAAATCTATTAACACTTATGAAATTGGTGATGAAAATGTTAAAATTTTTCAAGGGAAAATAATGTAAAGTTGTTATTGTCTCTCATAAATCTGTACATTTATATCAAGATTTATAAATGTATTTTTTGTTTGCTTTAAGTGAGACTTTTAAATAAAATATTGAAATAATTTGAATAGATTGTATGTTATCCTCAAGTCTGGAATAAAAAAAAAAATTAGAAGAACCAAACTCCATATTGTATTTAAAAAGGTAAAGGTCCATAAAACCTGACAAAATCAAACACTTGACTACATAACCAACAGAACAATTGAAAAAAAAAACCTGTTATATTCCTTACTTGGTACAGGACAAATGATGGTAAAAATAATTGCAAGGACATTTAAGCAGATTTGTACACTTGAATTGTATATTCTACAATATTATACAATGCACTATTAGTATCCAATCTGTAGTGCTGTACCACCAGTAGTTCCTGTAAAATCATAGTACTAGTAGCCTAACAGTTCTAAGGTCTAAACAGCATACATTTCTAAACATCTGACATCTAAACACTTGTTAAAATCTAAACATGTTTAGATGCTAAACGTGTTTCAAAACGTACACAGAAAAAGTGTTTAGATTTGTGTTTAGAATCTAAACACTGTTTTTACAGTGTAAAAACATCCTTAATGTTTTCTTAAACCCTTGGATATAGCCAGAATTTACTGTTATTTTTTAGTAAAATACCTTTCAGACCTGAAATAGGACTATTATTCATATCATTTGTTATTAGGATTTATCACTATTTATTGCATTTTGATACATACAAACATTTTTTAATGATTTGGGAGGTGTATGTTTGTTTTATAATAAAAAATTTCAACAAAAAGAAGAGTCTAATTTTTTTAAGTCACTGGTGTAACCAAAAGACAAATTGGTTGGGTAAGAGTTATCTTTCTCAAGATTTCAGCATTTACAATAGTTTCTCCCCTAGAAATGTTAACTGTAAGCATGTTATGCAAAAGAAAAAATAAATCAATGTTGAAAATTTAGTGAAAAAATCTTAAAAGTAAGTAAAAGCTATATCGTAAATGAAAATAGTGTCCATGGTATACCCTTATAAAAATCATTTTCCGAAAGATTTCCTGAACTTTGATTTATGAAAAGATATTGGTTGTAGAAATATGCACCAGGAACAACATATAAAATAGGGGAATGGAACACTTATTTTGTAACTAAATCTAAAAATATACCTGTAAATCATTGGTGTTACTGTCAATGATGAGACCACTTTAATAAAATAACACGACTGACCAGTTTAGTAACGCCACTGAATATATTATGACAATCAGCATTTTTTTGTGTTTCTTTCATGTTTAACAAGCGAAAAATCATATCATTTATGAATTATAATACTTATTTAACAATATAATGTATTACATATACAAAGTTTTCACAAACTGGTGTATGCTGGTAACACCAATGACACTATTTAGTAACACTATTGACATTTTTAGTTATTGATGTTATGTTATATAACTTGAGATTTATTAGCCTAAGAATTGTTTTATTTTATTTTTCTTTTGCTCAGTTTTCTATGTTTTGTGTTCAGTACTTAATAAAAGTAAAATTTGAAATGTGTTGTCAATGGTGATACTTTTGTGTCATTGTAGTTACAGAAGGGTCAGTGGTGTTACTATATAAAAATGCAATAATTTTATTTTTTTATTAACAAATGAAAGTGTTTTTAGGCCGTATACGAAAGATTAGGCATTATCTAATCATTCAGTCTTACACCTTTTACACATATTCAGTTTAAGTGTATTTTTTAATATTAACAATGGCCATAATTAGGACAGCCAACCTTTTTACAACAATTTACTCTGAAATTTATGTTTAAATAGAATGCATACCTATAAAAATAATGTCAATAAGTAGTAATTTTAACCTTAACAACAAATTGGAACAGTTGTTTGATATTTTTTTAGTAACTAAATGCATGTTTTATATTGGTAACACCATTGACATGGTTCTATCAGAGGATGACCTAAATTTGTTAAAATTGAAGGAACTCTTCATTTTTCCCATTGCATATTTCTGAATATAGTTGCTGCCATATTATAGAATAGGAGGACATACTCAAATTTTTAAAACAATGACATTATTTTTCCAAATTTTCCCTCATCGAAATTTGCATGTTTTTTTATAATGACCCATAAACATGTCGCAATGATGAGATACCCAAACCTTCCCTTGACATCTTGATCAGCGCAAGAAACAGAATGTTGAATAACAGTACAAAGTGCAATGACAATACAAATCAGTCTAACAAAATCAAAGATGTTTGAATAAATATTGCGACTTGGCGAGTCCTTCAGAAAATTTGAAAGAAATTCCCGTTAATATGTTTAGGTTCATACTTACAAAAATGTACATAATAAAGATCATACGGCGCATGTCTTCTGAGAACTTGTTACAGTAGAAGACACGAAATGTTGATTACTTGAATACTTGTTCAGGGTTTGAAAGTCATTTTCCGCTTATAGAATAGCACACTTATTATAAATAGAATTCAAATTATAAATAAATATGTACTAGTAACCATATGTATTTGTACAATATATAAAAATCGACAACATTGACAAATCACTTCCTGTTTCAATAAAGTGGTTTTAGATATATATTTAGATTGAGTCTATTTAAAGTACATATAAAACTGTTCAAATTATCTAATTATTGTGTAATTATTGAGAAATTTAGCCAAATATTTTTATATGTATCTGGTCACAGACAGGTTTCAGATCTCTGAGTATATCCTCTAATATATCTATTTGTATTCAAAAATCAAAAGTAGTAAAAGGTCACCTAATTCAGAATAGTTAGAACGATGGTTTCAGAAAAAAGTAAAATCACAAAAATACTGAACTCCGAGGAAAATTCAAAAATGAAAGTCCCTAATCAAATGGCAAAATCAAAAGCTCAAACACATCAAACGAATGGATAACAACTGTCATATTCCTGACTTGGTGCAGACATTTTCTTATGTAGAAAATGGTGAATTGAACCTGGTTTTATAGCTAGCTAAACCTCTCACTTGTATGACAGTCGCATCAAATTCCATATATTGACAACGATGCGTGAACAAAACAAACAGACACAATAGGTAAAAATGTCAAAAATAGCGATATTTTGATTTTGACCTTTAATAAAATCAAAAGTCATAAAAAATCTCCTCATTCAGAACGGTAACGTTAGAATGATTCGAAAGTAATATTTTGAATTTGACCTTCCATAAAATCAAAAGTCATAAAAACTCACCTAGTTCAGAACGGTTAGATTGTTTCGAAAGCGATATTTTGAATTTGACCTTCCATAAAATCAAAAGTCATAAAAACTCACCTAATTCAGAACGGTTAGATTGTTTCGAAAGCGATATTTTGAATTTGACCTTCCCTAAAATCAAAAGTCATAAAAAGTCACCTAATTCAGAACGGTTAAATTGTTTCGAAAACGGTATTTTGAATTTGACCTTCTATAAAATCAAAAGTCATAAAAAGTCACATAATTCAGAACGGTTAGATTGTTTCGAAAACGATATTTTGAATTTTGACCTTCCATACTGATCTAAACGGATTGGTTAATCGTGGAATCCTGTTCATTCTACCAATCAGTTGTCATGGTATCATTTTGATCAGATTTTATTATTTTTGTGAAATTCTTAATTTCAGTAAAAATTAGAAAAGTTCTAAGTTTAAAGCAAATTATTTTTAGTTCAATATTTTATTGCAATTTTGGACAGACATTTTAATAGCTTTAGTTTGGTTTTCACACAAACATATTTCCTTTTAGTAAGCCTTATTTGTTGTATATAGATTACGTAAGAAGTTATCGGACAATGGTCAGAATGTGTTGACAGATATGATTTTTAAAGTGAAGCCGACATGTAATAAGATGTATTTCGAATTATTTCTATTGTTAATGTCCGGCTCAAATATGGTATAGAGTAAACATTGATAGCAAGATTACATAAGTAATTAAGATATTTTTTAGTCATACACGTCACCTATGACCCCACCTATTTTCTGTCAATTAGACTAAAGTTGTCATGGTTTTTGATTAAATGATAATTTTGATTGGACAACCTGAAACAGTCCCCAAATTCGAATCTAAAAAGTTAATTCCAAAAAGCGTCACTTTTACATGCGCTCTTTGGTAATAAAGACATAAAACTATTTCAAGTTTTATTGAATATTGTTTCAGGTAAGCAAAGTTAATTTAATTTTGTTAAATATGATTTAAAGCATTCAGTTTAAAGGTTTTCATTACCTAAAAGTAACTTCTGATAAAGTTATTAATTTGCTCATGCTTTATTCTTTTTGAAGAGAAATAGAATTTAATTTTCCTTTTTGTAAAATCTTCATGTTTAGCATTTTCATAGTTATTTTATTTAATAAGAGTTTTCATCTTTTATTATCTTATAAAGGAGTTAATTATAAAGATATTTTCTTTATGCTATAATTGTAAATAGTTGTAAATTATGTTTTTTATAAGAAAAGTCTTTGTTTCTGATCGAAAAATTGGTATACTTATTTTATCTGTTTTTATAGTTATTTATAACATCCGCCTGTTTTGTCGCACTGACAAGAAATAATAATTCACCTTAAAGTTACTATTGCATTGAAGTTATAATGTTTCCAATGGTAAGGTCTTATTATTCAAAAGCCTTTTTAGGTATGATTTCTTGATGTGCAATTTATTTGACATGTTATTGTCAGCAAACACATGGTTTGTTATTTTTCTATAAATAACACGTTATTTAGTAAACTTATTTTTAGCAAGTATACATGTAAGGCATATATTCCATAGCTAGTTCCCCACAACAAAGTATTATATAATTTTCATTGCGTAACATGATTTCATGATAGAAAGTTTCTATTCTGCAATTGTTCCCCCCTTTTTATTGTGTAAAGAGTTATCCCCCTTAACAGATTAAACAAGAGTTATCCCCCCTTAACAGAGAAATGGTTAGATAAATAACCTCATTGTTTGAATTGGAGTTTCATAAGAAAGATGTTTATATTATTCCTTTATTTAATTCTCAGTATTTAGAATAAAGTTTATCCAAATACCTTGAAATGCTCTACCATGTTTATATTTGAATGTTTAGAATATTTATGCAAAAGACATGAGATGTTGCTCATACATTAAGTATTGCGATATGCATTATGTTCATGTTTCAGAATATTTATGAAATATTTAGTTATGATAGGTCTATTGCATTATCTATTGGCATTATACTTGCATTATTATATTGATTTATACTTATGAATATTGTTTGTCATTTTATATTATAATTGCTATTATAATTAGACTTTTACATGCGCTCTTTGGTAATAAAGACATAAAACTATTTCAAGTTTTATTGAATATTGTTTCAGGCCTTGGCTCCAGACATCATAAGTCGTCAAGGTGTAGACCCCGTTGGTACAAGACCAATTCCAAGCATACTACCCAGAAACCCAATTCTGACAACTGGTTGGAGGACTAAAAGATCCCAAAGATTTAACGTATGTACTGGTTGAGATCAAAGAACATCAATATGCCTGCACCAAATAATGCTACCACTAATGCCACAGACAATGAACAACTGGAAGAGATAGTCAACACAGCCCCATTACCAACAGCCACAGCAGGTACCTCATCTAACACTGTGAACACTGGGCCACACATAATACCACCACCACCAGGTTTTGCTAGTAACCATGGTCACAGATACCATGTGAATTTCGAGTCGTTTAGTGGTAGGGGCAATGCCACAGAATTCTGGGCCATGTTTATGGCATTTGTAACATTACAGGGCATGCCTGAGGTGTCAGCCATCTTGATTCTCCCGTTCCACCTGACAGGCATAGCCAGGGAATGGTTTAATGTCTTGGACAATAAGTATAAAGTATCGTTAACATCGATTAAAGAAGCATTCCTGAAAAGATTTAAGCCACTCATCAAGAGAGGTGTTAAACTCACAGACTTAAAACAAGGAGATACAGAATCTGTTGATGATTACATACATAGAGCTATGTCATTCAACAGCGAAAATAGTGTTTCTGAGGATTTCCTGGTCAGTATAACAGAAAAAGGTTTCAGAAAGAACTTGGCCCATATCATTATGCCACATAGATCGCAGACCATGGAGCAACTCAGAGAAATTGCTGCTGTAGCTGAGGTTACTGTTTCCGTCACAGCACAACCTCAGTCACCAACAGACCTCACTGCCACCATCAACCACGCCGTTCAATCTGCAGTCCAATCCTGCGAAGCCAATCAAGCAAATCTTCTAACTGCCCTGCTGTCCAGAATGGAGACCACACTGTCTGCAGTTAACAGACCAGAACAACACAGAGTGAGATTCAATGACAGACATCAACCAAACAGTCAACATGGTCAAAGTTCTAAAGAATGCAAATTTTGTGGAGGTAGGTCCTGTACTATAAGGTCTAATTGTCCTGCATCAAACAAAATTTGTCATTTTTGTAAGAAATTAGGGCATTTTAAAAAAGCTTGTTTAAAACTGAAGCGAGCTCAAGGTTCACAGTCTGACTAGGGACGTGAGCCTGTCTCTAGGCAACAGTCTAAAGATAGGCACAAAGATAAGCAATCTGGTGTAATCAATTTAATAGCCACACTGGATGCTGATAAGAGCACCACTCATGTTTCAGTAGGTGGGTCAAAAACTTTTGCATTGGTCGATACAGGTGCAAATCTGTCTGTAATGAGTAAGCAGTTTCTAGACAAAACTCCTTACTCCACAAGATTTTTACAACCATCTATTATTAGAAGTGTAATAGCTGTTAATGGTGAACATGTTAAAGTTTTGGGTAAATTAGACATTCTAATTACAATAGGAAATAGAAATTTCAAAACTGTAGTACATATTTTACCACAATTACACCACTCTCTAATTCTAGGTGTTGATTTTTTGAAAAACAACAAAGCAAAATTAAATTTTGACAACAATACTTTAGAAATTGTAGAAAATCACACAGTTACTACAATAAGTAAACTTAGTATAAGTGAAGGTTTAGTAAGAACTCTTAAAGCAGTAACAATACCAAAATTTTCTCAAACTTTAATTAGTGTCTCTGTTTCACATCAACAACCAGGTTCAACTGTACTTTTAGAGCCACTTCCAAATATAGAGCATCTAAACATACTAGCAGCAAAGTCATTAGTTACTGTTAAAAATGGACAAGCATATATAAGTTTACTTAACCCAACTGACAAAAATGTAAGGTTAAGAGCACACAAGAAAATTGCTAAAGTAGAACAAGTCAATACTGAGCTCATACAGAACTTTGATAAAAGCTCTCCATCTGTTTCATCAGTAAACACACCAAGTAAAGTCTCTGGATCTGACCTAAAATTTGATTTATCACAATCTGACTTAACAGAAATGGAGAAAACAAAGTTAAAATCATTTTTGAAAGTAAACAGAAAAAGCTTTGCCACAAATTTAACAGAATTAGGTGAAACAAATGTATACAAACACAAAATTGTAACTGTCCCTGGTGCACGACCTGTAAAACAACATTTTTATAGACAGTCACCTCAAGTTAAAAAGGAAATGGAAAATCAAATTCAAGATTTATTGAAACATAATATTATAGAGGAGTCTAACTCTGATTGGTTGTCACCAGTAGTAATGATTCCTAAGAAAAATACAGGTACATGGCGCCTAGCGATAGATTATCGCAAGGTCAACAAGGTCACAGTACCTATGAATTTTCCTTTACCCCATATTGAAAGTGTTTTTGACACATTAGGTGAAGCAAAACCTCTTTACTTTACAAATTTAGATCTTAAAAGTTCGTTTTGGCAAATTCCACTTGATGAAGAGACAAAACATAAAAGTGCATTTGTCACACAATCTGGTGTCTATGAGTGGAATCGTCTTAGTTATGGCTTAATGAATGCAGCCACCACTTTTCAATGTCTCATGACGCAAATATTTAGAGGTTTAAATTGGAAATTTTTGTTAGTCTACATAGATGACATCTTAATATTTAGCAACACTTTTGAAGAACATCTTGAACACCTTACTCAAGTTTTTGATAGGTTAAAAGAGGCAAATTTACGTTTACAGCCAACAAAATGTAATTTCGCAGTTAAGCAAGTCAAATTTTTAGGCCACATTATTTCCAAAAATGGAGTTCAGGTTGACCCAGAAAAAACGAGTGCAGTTAGTGAATTCCCTGTCCCAAAAACAGTTAAACAGGTCAGAAGTTTTTTAGGTATGGCTAACTACTATCGTCGCTTTATTAAAGGTCATTCAGATATTGTCTCGCCTTTGACAGCATTGCTGCGCAAAAATGCACCATTTAACTGGACTCCTAAATGTCAGCAAGCATTTGAAACCATGAAAAACGCTTTACTCTCTTCACCAATTCTATCTTACCCAGATCCAAATAGGCCTTTTATTTTGACATGTGATGCATCTGATCTAGCAATAGGCTATGTTCTGGGACAAAAAGATGATCAAAATAGAGAGTATGTTGTCGCTTATGGTGGTAAATCACTGAGTGATGCTGAAAAAAAGTACTATACTTCTGAAAAAGAGTGTTTAGCCATAATTAGAGGCGTTGAATCCTACCGTCCTTATTTGGCTAACTCTCACTTCACAATAGTTACTGATCACAGCGCACTCACTTGGTTAAAAACTGCCAAATTATCAAGGAGACTAGAACGTTGGGCACTAAAATTACAAGACTTAGACTATGATATCATTCATAGACCAGGCAAAAGCAATGTTGTTGCAGACTGTTTAAGCCGTAGGCCATATGATGAGGCACCGGCTATACAATCTGTAACGAATGCTAGACAAGATTCCGAGCCAGATTCTGAATCTGAATGTTTACGAAATGGTTGGCAAACTTACACTTCCTTTTACTATGACGATGAACCTTCTGAAAACTGTCCTGTAATATCTGCCCTACAAGCTGATCTACTTCCTGAAAACTTAGCTAATCCTATCTCTCTGTTTGAAAAGCAAAAACAATGTCCTGATTTTTCTGATATCATTAAATATCTGCAAGATAGAGAACTTCCTGAGGATGAGAAACTCAGTCGTGCAATTGTATCTGAAAGTCCTTATTACTCTATTTCTAATGGTATTTTGTATCATTTATATCAGAGAAGATGTAGGAAGTTACCAAAGGAACTTAGGCAAATTAAACAGATAGCATTGCCTACTTGTCTAAGAGAAGAGGCTCTTCACTCATATCATGACTCCTTATTAGGCGGAGGTCACTTAGGTGCTGATAAGGTCTATTCCTCTATGATGGAAAAATATTATTGGCCAAAAATGCATGCAAATGTAAACCAATACATAAAAACTTGCGATAGGTGTCAACGTGCTAAAAGAAATTACAACCCCAACAAACCACCTTTGTCTCCAATGCCGCATGTTGGTAGATTTCATCGTTGGCATGTTGATATACTAGGTCCTTTGTCAAAAACACCACAAGGTTTTGAACATGTTTTAGTAGTAGTTGATGCTTTCACTCGTTGGACAGAAGCTTTCCCTATGAAAACACAAACAGCAAAAGAGGTAGCAACTATATTATGCTCAGAAGTTTTTGCCCGTTTTGGCAGTCCTAAAATTTTATTTAGTGATAGAGGTCAATCCTTCATGGCAAAGGTTATCAAAGCAATTTGTGAAGTTTTCCAGGTTAAACAACACCATTCAAGTTCATATCATGCAAATACAAATGGTACTGTTGAACGTCAAAATAGCACATTAGCAGCATGTTTAAGAGCATATTGCGATAAAGACCAGTCAAATTGGCCTACCCTTCTCCCTTTCATAATGATGGCTTACAGAAAATCACCATCCTGCAATACAACAGGATATTCACCCTTCTATATGATGTTTGGAGAAGAAATGCGACTTCCTTTTGATGTAGCATTAGAACCAAAAGACAATTTAAGTCAAGATGTCAAAGATTATATAGAAGGCTTTTTGGCAAATTTAAAAATTGCGCATGAAATTGCAAAACAAAGAGATGCGCAACAAAAAGATAAAGATAAAGAAAGACATGACCTTAAATCAAATATTCCTGATTTTTCTGTTGGAGACCAAGTTTTGATAACTACAAATAAAGTCCCTAAAGGTCAGTCTCGCAAATTACATGACAAACATGCTGGTCCTTATCGCATTATGGAAAAAGGTCCAAACTTCACATACAGATTGAAAGAAATATCAAATAATAAAGAACTAAAATCATTGATAAATGCCACAAATCTTAGGCGCTACTATGATCCAAATATTCATCGCAAACGGTTTGAAGTACAACCACAACAAAACAATGCACCAGATCAAAATGCAAATGTAGCTCCTCAACCACAACCACAAGTGCAAGAGGAACCAGAAAACACTGCAGGTAATGCAGAACCTCTTGAAGAACCGCCAAATGATAACATACAAACTGAAAATGATGTTAACCTAGAAAATGATACAGAAAATCAAACAAATCAACCTCTTATTGAGCAACAATCATTTAATTTTCATCAAATTAAAAGAGGAAAATTTTGCAATGGTAAAAGGTACATGAGAGTAGAATGGCTGGATAAGACACGCACATGGGAACCAGATAGTAGTTTTGACCCTCCCATGTTAGAGGAAATAAATCTTAGATTTACCCAGAAAGGTAAAAGAAAGAAATCTTTCTTCAAAAGAGTAAAAAAGTAGTTTTGCTCATAGTACATGTAGTATTCATGCGTTAATTAAGACATAGTTTTTTTTTTGTTTTTTTTATCATTCAAATTAAGATTAATGATTTGAGTTTCTTAGTTCATACCACTTTATATTGCACAAGTCTGTAATCGTACAAGTTAGTACTCATAAATAAGTGAACTCATTAGCACTCATTATCTTAAGTTCGTACTCAGTTCAGTACTCAGTAAAAATGTATTTTCAGTTCCAAGTTACTTGACATCGAAGGATAGTCCCATTGATAGTATTATTCAATTCACTGCTAACTAGCTAGCCATGCCGGCAGACTTTTGATTTTAATTGGGGTTTTTTTTTTTGTAAGGAAAAAATTTGATGTATTGATTTAAACCTAAACAGATTCTCTGTTGATCTATAGTGCTAGATTGTATGTAAGGCCTTCATACTTTCACCCGAATTTCATCACATCTAAATTTTTTCCCTTGTTTAATATATTTGTAGGTAAATTCATAGCTAGTTGGCATGGGCTGATGTACTTTCTAATGGTGGTCCTGTGTTTTGTTCAAGTGGGTGCTGATTATACTGTAGAAAAAGACATAATCCAAAGAATAAACTATGGGGTCATCTACAAAGAAGAGGCAAACCTGTTTTTAGCCAAAGAATCATGGCTTCATACATTTAAGGTTCAAATTCCCCAGAACATTCGTTTATCAGAAGAGTTACCTTTGTGTCAAAACAAAGACATGTTCATGATTGTAATACATTTAACGCAATGATTCATTTTATAAGTCATTTACATAAAACTACAGAAATGCACTTATTAGATACAATTATTAGATACAATTAAAGCCATTCATACTTTAATTCCTCATAGTACTATTTTGTCATCAAAACGAAGTATTCGTTCATTTTTACCATTTATTGGCTCACTTGCTAAAGGTCTTTTTGGTACAGCAACAATGAGTGATGTTAATTTACTTGCTAGACATATAAATGCACTCAATAAGAGAACAGAATTATTGTCTGACGTTTTACACCAACATGATGACCACTTATCATCCTATATGTCAGTAATGGACAATAGGACAACCAATCTGATGTCTGGAATTCAAACCAATTCAAAAGAGATAGCCACATTGGCTAATTCAATGAACTTGTCATTGGTTACCTTACAGCAATCCATGTTTAATATTTCCAAAATACTCATTAACCTCACTAATACTGGCAATATATTACGAAGCAATTTGGACCAGTTCCAAGCCGCAGTGCAAAGCCTTGTCATGGGCAGAGTCTCACCACTATTATTGCCAAAACAAACCCTAACACATGCACTCCATAAGGTTCAAGGTATATTAACAAAATCTTACCCAGGATTTTATCTAACACAGTTACATCCTTCTTTCTACTATACTAACCGTAACTTTATGTTTATGCGTAACCACTCCATCTTATACCTAACACTTAGATTTCCAGTTTCATCACATGCACAACCTCTTCAGCTTTTTAAAGTAATTTCTCTACCTGTTCCAGTAAATAACACTCTAAAGCATGCAACTAAACTGCTTGATTTACCAGACTTCTTTGCTCTTACCCACCAGCATGATTATTACCTCCCCTTATCTTCTAATCAATTAACTAATTGCCAGCATGAAAGTGTTATCACATGTAGTTTCAATATTGCACTAATCCCATCGCATGTTCAACAATGCACCATTGCACTATTCAACAATGACAAGAAGCAGGTCAAAAGCCTGTGTAATTTCAGATTTTTGGAAAATCATTTAACACATGACATCATTGAATTGAGTTCCACATCAGTATTGGTGTATCAAAGTGATACGCTTGCTATTAATTGTCACAACAAGCAAAATCTCCTACCAGGATGCAAATTTTGTGTTGTCAATTTACCATGCAAGTGTTCACTATCCACAAAATCATTATATTTATCACCAAGATTAGTCCAATGTTACAACAACACACAAGAAGTGTCAGTACAATACCCTGTAAATTTAGCATTATTGCAAGAATATTTTAGTGATAAGCAATTATCCTCCACATCAGGAGATAAACTATTTTCTACACAAGTTCAGTTATCAGTACCAAATTTTAGTTTATATAGTCATAGTATCAGTAATACTTTAGCTGCAGATCAACAAATGCATTTAAATTTAAAGAAAATGACTGCTGCAGTCAGAAATGATTCTAAAATATTTAAAACGCTTAGCGAACCTTTGTTAGACGGTATTATATCTATTCAATCAGAATGGCCTGATTTAAATGCAATTCTTGTTATCACATCACTAAGTTTAGGATCATTTGCCATTATAATTTGTATTTACTTGTTTTTAAAGTTTAGAAAGTTAGCCACAGCTATGTTTGTATTACAACAAGTCTCAAAAGTAAAATCTCAAGATATACCATCATTTATATATAAGAAACTCACACCACCTACTACGAGTGCATCAGAACTCGAAACATTTTTTGCTACTCAGTTTTCTTGGCTACATGCCTCAGTGATTTTGAGTGTAATTGTACTCATATTTTTATCTGTACTGATTTGTTTTTTGTATCGATCAAGAAAATCCAAATGCACTACCATTTACATAGAGATTACATCAGGTGCTGACTGTGTTACAGTACCATTGCTTAGCTTATCTTTGTGTCCATCATATTACGACTTCAGTATACCATCTGTAGATGATATATCAATTTCATCCTTTCCTCAGAGTAAATTATATGTTATTATTTCATCATTTGTTATTACAAACAAGCTTACCAACAAGACTGTGAACACCCCTACTACAATTGATATTAATGTATTTAAAAGGCATAGAATTCACAAAATATTAGCTCAGACTTTTGATTCTTATGTTTTGATTACACATCAGGGATTTGCTTCAGTTTTGAACCACCACGCACTATTCAAAAGGTGCAACAAGCTTCAAAACAGACTTCTGTTTCCTTATATCCACATTTAGAATAATCATTTTTACTTTAAAAGCAAATTGTTTTTGTTATTTCATTAATTATTCAATTAACTATTAGATTCTATTAGAAAATTTTAACATTTAAAAATAAACTGTATTTTTGCAGTAATTTTTGACTAATCATTTTATACTTCATTTCATAATAATTAGTTATATTCCATAAGTAGTGCTGAACTCTCAACCTCTTGAATATTTTCCCAATTGTTTTAAGTGATAAAGTATTATTTTTTTAGATAACATTTTTCAGACAAAGTTTGATGCATTTATTGTTTTAAAAGACCTTGTAACTCAGGACCTGTGTTTATGATCAATTATCGTATATATATGTATGTATATAAATTTTGTATGTTTACTTTTGTATATATGGAACAATACTTATTATCATGTATATGTATATGACTAACCCCTACTTTACTTAGTATTTTACAGGAACTATTGTCAAGATTTCGGGTCGAAATCAGCTGAAGTAAGGGAGTTGTCATGGTATCATTTTGATCAGATTTTATTATTTTTGTGAAATTCTTAATTTCAGTAAAAATTAGAAAAGTTCTAAGTTTAAAGCAAATTATTTTTAGTTCAATATTTTATTGCAATTTTGGACAGACATTTTAATAGCTTTAGTTTGGTTTTCACACAAACATATTTCCTTTTAGTAAGCCTTATTTGTTGTATATAGATTACGTAAGAAGTTATCGGACAATGGTCAGAATGTGTTGACAGATATGATTTTTAAAGTGAAGCCGACATGTAATAAGATGTATTTCGGATTATTTCTATTGTTAATGTCCGGCTCAAATATGGTATAGAGTAAACATTGATAGCAAGATTACATAAGTAATTAAGATATTTTTTAGTCATACACGTCACCTATGACCCCACCTATTTTCTGTCAATTAGACTAAAGTTGTCATGGTTTTTGATTAAATGATAATTTTGATTGGACAACCTGAAACAGTCCCCAAATTCGAATCTAAAAAGTTAATTCCAAAAAGCGTCACTTTTACATGCGCTCTTTGGTAATAAAGACATAAAACCATTTCAAGTTTTATTGAATATTGTTTCAGGTAAGCAAAGTTAATTTAATTTTGTTAAATATGATTTAAAGCATTCAGTTTAAAGGTTTTCATTACCTAAAAGTAACTTCTGATAAAGTTATTAATTTGCTCATGCTTTATTCTTTTTGAAGAGAAATAGAATTTAATTTTCCTTTTTGTAAAATCTTCATGTTTAGCATTTTCATAGTTATTTTATTTAATAAGAGTTTTCATCTTTTATTATCTTATAAAGGAGTTAATTATAAAGATATTTTCTTTATGCTATAATTGTAAATAGTTGTAAATTATGTTTTTTATAAGAAAAGTCTTTGTTTCTGATCGGAAAATTGGTATACTTATTTTATCTGTTTTTATAGTTATTTATAACATCCGCCTGTTTTGTCGCACTGACAAGAAATAATAATTCACCTTAAAGTTACTATTGCATTGAAGTTATAATGTTTCCAATGGTAAGGTCTTATTATTCAAAAGCCTTTTTAGGTATGATTTCTTGATGTGCAATTTATTTGACATGTTATTGTCAGCAAACACATGGTTTGTTATTTTTCTATAAATAACACGTTATTTAGTAAACTTATTTTTAGCAAGTATACATGTAAGGCATATATTCCATAGCTAGTTCCCCACAACAAAGTATTATATAATTTTCATTGCGTAACATGATTTCATGATAGAAAGTTTCTATTCTGCAATTGTTCCCCCCTTTTTATTGTGTAAAGAGTTATCCCCCTTAACAGATTAAACAAGAGTTATCCCCCCTTAACAGAGAAATGGTTAGATAAGTAACCTCATTGTTTGAATTGGAGTTTCATAAGAAAGATGTTTATATTATTCCTTTATTTAATTCTCAGTATTTAGAATAAAGTTTATCCAAATACCTTAAAATGCTCTACCATGTTTATATTTGAATGTTTAGAATATTTATGCAAAAGACATGAGATGTTGCTCATACATTAAGTATTGCGATATGCATTATGTTCATGTTTCAGAATATTTATGAAATATTTAGTTATGATAGGTCTATTGCATTATCTATTAGCATTATACTTGCATTATTATATTGATTTATACTTATGAATATTGTTTGTCATTTTATATTATAATTGCTATTATAATTAGACTTTTACATGCGCTCTTTGGTAATAAAGACATAAAACTATTTCAAGTTTTATTGAATATTGTTTCAGGCCTTGGCTCCAGACATCATAAGTCGTCAAGGTGTAGACCCCGTTGGTACAAGACCAATTCCAAGCATACTACCCAGAAACCCAATTCTGACACTTAATTGCGAAGAATGCTTACACCAAAACTAATATTATGCCTTAGGGTATGATATCAAATTACATTTTTTGTTACATTGATGATTTTACATATTAAGTACTGCAAAACATGTTCTACCTTTGGGTTAAAATATCAGGAAATTGATCAAGACAAGATTTACGAAAGTCATAGATATTTCAACTATCAAAACGTTTTAACTCACTGGAATTGTCAAAAAGGGGGACAAATATCAGTTACCCTTTTTTTCGAGTGATCATGACTAACAATGTATCGCTTCTAATTCAATAATATGTTGTTTCAGTAAAAGTCCTCTATGTTTGTGCATTCGTGTTACGCTATAATCTAAGATAGCCTGGCATCCTGACCCAATCTAATACTTCGACTGTCGAGCAGTGAGTCAGAATCCCAGTCTATAATCTAAGAAAGAGACGCAGTTTCAAGGGACAATATAATTGCTAAAAAACTGAGGACATGGCAACATTTGTCTTACGTGTAAAACAAACAGTTACCAGATTCACTGAAAAAACAGGACATAAGGAACACATCTCAAAAGATTATCATTTAAACAGTATGCCAAATTTGTACGTGTATAGCAATATAAGTTATTATGGCTATTTACGTATCAAAAGCATTGCCAATATCTCCTGAAAGTTATTTTCTTTCCTGAATTTTAGCAGATTTAGGGTTATTTAATCTATTGACTTTAGGTCTTTTTGTTTATTTCCTCCATAGAATGGTATTGTGTGATCTTCTTTTTATGATTTTTTTCAAACGGTTATTCGATTCCCTCGGTATTCAATTTTTGTGTTTTGTTTTGTTTTGTTTGTTTTATTTTTACAGGGGCTGGTTTGAAAGGAAGTCTTTGAGAAAGTTTGTACGAAGTCTTTCGCGCTACTCTTCTTAACATTTCCAGTGGAACACGCACTGTCTGCTAAATGTGCAGAGCAGATAACATGTTTCTAATTGAAATTGATAAAGCGGATTCATGAGCAACTGAATGAACAGACTTCAAGTGTACTATGGTTATGTTATAATTCCCAAATGCATAATGTAATGTTTAGCTAGGCACTTGACCGAGAAAAATCATTCAGGAGAAAACATCATAATGTTATGTTCACATAAGCAATTGACCAAGCTGAAGCTGAAATGATAATTTTGTGACAGAAAAGATGGCAAAAATGGTCACATTTAGGAGAGGGGAAGGGGGTTGGGGGTAAACTGTAGTCATCGCTGAAAGGATCGCAGTATCCGTGTTGTAAAATCTTGAAAATGGGTACTTATTGAACATGCAAAAGTTACAAAATATTTTATTTTAACTAATTTGTAACACGCAGAGTTGTATCTCGCTCTTCTAGTTCTTTTCAAAACCTCAACAACAAATATACGCTCCTCTTCCTAGTAGTGACTTGTTACTGAAATATAAAACTCAATATAAAAAAATTTAAAGAAACTACGGTTTTTAATATTTTTGCAACGTCTCTCTCGCACTCTCTCTCGCTCTCTCTCTCTTTCTTTCAGATAGAAAAAAATCCAGTTTATCTTAATTTGAATATTTTGGGTCGTAAACAGCAAAAAAACACACAAAAAGCGATTTTAATGCTGTTCTTCATCTCAAAGTCACAGTGAGGCCTTCAACACGGAGCAAAATAACTCTTACCTCACTGCAAGTTTAAGACGTCCCCTAGAACCGGCTTGAGCGGTATTCTTTGCAAAAATAATTTGGATTGACTTTGTAAGATGCAATACCACCTAATCGGGCCCGGTCAAAAAAGAACATACTGGAAAGTAGTACACATTTAAAACAAATAATTCCTACGCACAGGTGTAAATCTTAAACTATGTAGCATATATTTTAGTAATTAAGGTATCAGATGAAAGATGAAGAACTTATAAGCTTGTGTTTTACTTAGGGAAATACATGTATATCCCTTAACTTGAATACGAGAGGAACAATAAATAAAACATGAAAAAAATGAAACCATTAACGCACAATAAACCCATGTGTGGTATATTAAAAGCTTGTGAATTCAGTAAAACTGGAAGGAAATTGCTTTTTTCTGAGAAAAAAAATGAATGAGCAGTTTAATTGTTAATACATTTTTATTCAAAATGGTGCATATTCTTCTGGAAATTTATTCTACGCATTGCCAAGTTAGTACAAAAGAGTATGAAGATAGGTTTGTTCTAATTGTCAATGGTTTCTCATTTTCCTCGAAGGGTCACCATGGCTACGGTTAAGAGTTTCATAAAAAAAATCCGATAACAATAATCTTATTGTATTAACTCAAAGAAAACTTTATCTTGCACTTTGTTTTTGCACTTCTTTCAGATTTGTATGGATAAACTTACATTAGGTGATGGGCTATTGCCATTGAAGAGGCCATTTACCATATCTGTTGACGAACAAAAGAAAAACAGGAGCATTGCAGCTGGAAAGATAATAAAAATAATAAAGGTAAATACGCAAAACATTCCATAAGAATTTCCTTACAAGAGAGTTTATATAAAGAAAGCTACTGAATTAATGGCTTCTAATGGTAATATTGAAGTCAAAACATGGTTAGTTTTTCGGTGACCATCAGGATTTTTATCTAAAGGGGCATTAGTTACATGATATAATTTTTTTTTGTTCAATCATAAATGAAAGTGAAATAGTGAAATAATAATTCGCTTTTAGCAGATAATTTGGTTCAATTTTGTCAAAATAAGCTAAGAAACTTCGCTGTTGAATTATTCACTTGCAAGTGAATAATTCCACCTAATTAACTCCGTATTTATCTGTCTTCAAATTATTCGCTTGGCTGTAGATGGGTTACGCTTGTATTCTGCTATTAAAAGGAAAAGAATGTCAACACTGAAAGTGAAACAATGATGAACCATTTGGTTGACTGATTCGGTCCACGAACAAATCATTCTTATACAGGTAAAAATGATGATAAATATACTTTTTGATCTGCAATATGAAATCAAACAGACCTAGAAAAATCCAATTGCACGTGTTCGCTATCTATTTTTATTTATATTTATATTTATATCAGGTTATATGACCGTCGGCAGTCTTCGGAAGTAATCTCGAAGGTTAATTAGATGATGTCTAGAAAAAATACATGTTCGAAAATGTTGATACATAATATCGACTTCATGCATTGTTAATTGTTTATTTTAGACTTTTTGTATTATGGATATACGTTTAAGTATGCTATAAATCAAATATGAAAATTTGAGTCAAATCGGTAAACATGAATTTGACAGCTAATACCCCTTAAAGAATTGAATGCTTCTTTTTTTAAATTTTATTTGGGTGTAAAAGCGTTGACCAAAGCACATTTTGTATATTAAAAATTTGCGCACGATCAACGCTTTTACAACCCTATAACATTAGAAAAAGAAGCATTCAAGTCAATTCAATCTTATAATTACATGTTTATGCTGCAGCCATGAAATTAGCTTAATGGTTATATCTTTTTCGTTGATTTTTTGTACATTAATCAGGCCATTAGTTTTCTCGTTTGAATTGTTTTACATTTGTGATTTCGAGGCCTTTTATAGCTGACTATGCGGTATGGGTTTTGCTCATTGTTGAAGGCCGTACGGTGATTTATAGCTGTTAATTTCTGCGTCATTTGGTCTCTTGTGGAGAGTTGTCTCATTGGCAATCATACCAAATCTTCTTTTTTATATATCAAGATTTTCGTTTGTTTTTTCAATGCACTATTTTGATATTGTCACGGAGAGCATGTGCAGTCATATAGCTGTTATATTTTATACGGAAATAAAATATGATCTTGGAGTGCTTCGCGATTATTGTCAGCCAAAAAAAAAATACGGATTCTAGTGAAGCATACATGTGATGTAATTATTGCCGTTTACGGAATATTTTTGTCATTGATTTCCAAGCAGACGTGAGCAGCAACCCTCTATCAAGGAAATCAAAATAGAAAAACCAAGCCTTAAAATATCGTTTCGACTGGAAGATATGTACTCCGTATGCAGGCGCTGCTGGAATGTTGCTACATAGAAATGGAAAGTTCACAATTGGGAAGCTAAAATCATCTCTTTTGTCTTAAAGTTTTGTTTTCAACCGACCCTCATTGTCAACTTCTAGATGTAAGTCAACATATAAGGCAGAATTACTGTATCTGTTGTATCCTTTATCTCAAGTTCGGTGGGATATATGCGTTCAACATAGTCACCAAATTTGAATTATTTAGTGAGAGAACATCATCTATATGGAGGAAAGTGAATTTAAAGGATACTGCTAACTTCTTTTCTTTCTTCCTAAGAAGTTCCTGTATGAAGTCAGCCTCATATGAATAAAGGAACAAGTCAGCAAGAAGAGGATCACAGTTGTTCCCATCGGAATACCGATTGTTTGTTGAAAAACACGCCCTCCAAGCGTAACAAATATGTCGTCAATCAAGAAATCACGACAAGCATCTTGATAATGTCCGTTTCAGAGAATTTTTTGTTTGAATCAGATTGATTTAATCGTGGTTTCTGAATGCCCACAAATTATCGTATCCAACCAGATAAAACAATTAACATGCTTAACATTTAAGAAACTGGAAGTCGAATAATTAAAGGCCTACTCCATATTGCTGTTACTTCTTCTTCTGGCCAAACAGAAGGGTCACCTTGGGGAATAACTATTTGGCTCGATACTGTCATTACAGTAAACGAAAGAAGAACTAAGTAGCTTAGTATGATTGTTGACTTCATGATGTATGCCGAAGTTCCTGCAAAAAAAATAGTCTCTGTTGATTGAATATGCATTAACAACATGGGTCAGACCCGGGTAAATGTCGAGCTTAATATATATGAAATTGGAATCTTTATCAAAACAGTCTTTTGAACTGAGGGCGACATGTACTACAGGTCCATGATACCTATGTAAATGTAGTAAATTTAATCTTACATTTGTATATCAAGTAGGTTGTTTATTTTACGTATTCTTGTATGTACGTATTTTATTTGTTATTGCTTGTTATGGATGGGTGTTATTTTTTCAATAAACATTCTATAAAATAATGAGATGGTATGATTGTAAATGAGACAACTATCCACCAAATACCTAAGTATCAGGATTAAACAACTATAGGTAAATGTACGGCCTTCAACAATGAGCAAAACCAGTACCGTATAGTAAACTATAAAATGTCCTTGTAACACAATGAAAGACAATTCAAAGGAGAAAACGAACGGCTAGATTTATACTAAAACCAATAAACAAATCCCAAATATGACAGAAAAAAACTAACGACAACCACTAAATTACAAGCTTCAAACTTTAGAAACTACTTTCTTTGCCGTTGGTCGGTGGGGCGTCCGTTTCGCTGACGACATCACAGCCGATTTTTTTCTCCCCGCTGACAATGGATAGGCAGACAAAGAAAGAACATATATAGTATTGATAATTAAAACATTGGTTGACATCTTTATTTATTTATTTATTCATGACTATATACTATTTTTTTTTTCTTGTGTAATCTACTTGTTTCCTCTGTATGTATATATTCAGGGGTTTATTTTTACAGGCTCTATGATTATATCAAAGCAGGGATCGTCTTGTGTTTTTAAACGTCATTTATGCGTGCATGTAAGCAGGCATGTTGCAATAATTTTATAAGATATGCACAGCTTACATTAGTATAGTTACAAACTAAAAGGCAATCTCCGTGTTGAAGACCGTACTGTGACCTATAATGGTTTACTTTTATAAATTTTGACTTGGATGGAGAGTTGTCTCATTGGCACTCATACCACATCTTCTTATATCTAGTGAAAGAAAACATTGTTTAAGTGAGACAGATTCAAATAAATTTGTAAACTTGGACGCCAAAAATTGAAATAATTATCCTTATTCATAAAACTACAATTGAATAACAAGGCGCGGATCCAGCTATTTTGAAGGGGGTCCAACTCTCGGAACACCATGAAATGTTGACGTAATTAAAAAAAATCGAATAACTGGATCGCCCGTCTATTGTTTATATGAAATATCAACATGCTAGATGTAACCAGACATCATTGTCTTGCTTCTTTGACTGAAGTTGATAATGATTGTTTATACATTTCTATTGCTTCGATGAACTGTCGTTTCTTTGCTGAACCGTATTTGTTCTTTTTATGATATTGAAAAATAAGAAGTGGTACAATTGCCAATGAGACGACTCTACACCAGAGACCAAAGCGGTCATTCTACATTACGGGTAATATTGTCTGATAAATCATGTTTCAATTATTTGATTAATAATTATTGAAGAATGTTTCTAGAACTTTAAAATTTCCCTTACCGTTTTCAAAATGTAAACCTCAAGGTCTGACTTCTACCCAAAAAGTAAACGAAGAAGCGAAATGTAATGTGAAATAACGATTTAACACCTTTTTGACAGGCTGAAGTCTTCCGAAGTGAAATTTTGACACGAGGAAATGTGTATATCTTCTTACTCAATTCGACGTATGTCTAAAAACATATTGGAATAACACTTCGTAATATTCGGGGAATTGAACACATATAGGATTAAGGTATCGAAACAAGCTTTCTTTTATACATACCTGCACAATAAATGCTTCAAATGGTTGTGGACAATAATGATGTCAAAAAAAATGTGACGTTTGAAAAAAATGTGTAATTTTACCATTAATTACATGATTACATGAAAATGAATATCGATCTTAAATTTATTTGATAATTCATCCTCCATTTTATAATATATTTTTTTCATTTTTTAAAATATCGTTTTTTGTTATTCATTTATAGTTGTTAGGGGGTACTGTCAAATTTGATTAACAAAATCTAATGAAGAAACGGTGTCTTCCTCGAATGCCAACATTTTATATGTTACCTATTCCTTGAACGCCAACAAAAATATTTCAATAGATGTTTATATAATAACAATAGGTGTTTTTATAACTATTTAAATGTTTTTATAAGTATTAAACTGTTAAAAATAATTAGTGAACTTGATAAAATTGAAACATTTTATAACTTTTTGATAAGAAAAAATAGTAGATTTTGGGGTTAAAATTATTATGAATTTTAAAGAAATAAAGAAAATTAAAACATTTTAATTACTTTTTATTTAAAAAAAAGATATTTTGAGAATTGAAATTTTTATAAACATAAGACATATAAGAAATTTTAGTTAAATACAATTATTACCAACTAAGAAATGTGTATGGATAAGCTGATATGAAGCACTTTTTCAAGTTATAACATAGTCTTGATATGTGCTGAGAGTTATTTTATTCAGAAAAGACGGACAGACCTTTGACCTAGAAAGTTGTACATACATTATGACACACCCTCTAGTGTTGGTTAATATACAAGTATAAACTTTGAATCATAACCGTTCTCAAGATATAGAGCGGACACAATCTTTACAATAGGACATGGGGTTGTCATCTGAAATCAATGTTTTTGACCTTGACCTTTGACCTGGGAAGTTGTACATACATAATGACGCACCCTCTAGTGCTGGTTGATATACATGTCAAGTATAAACTTTGAAATCATTCTCTATATATAGAGCGGATACAATTTGTTACGGACAGACGGACAGACTGATTACAATAGGGCGAACAGCCACTAGACGGGGCCCTAATAACACATAATAATCTTACACGAGATACAAAGTTTCAAGAAATTCCATCAAGTAATATGGGAGGATATTACAGCACACACAACTATAGAAATATTGAAAAGCAACATCAAAGTCCAAAGAGTCTAATGTAGAATTTGTGCAAACTGTACTGAAAATATGCACATGTTAACTTTGTGATGCAACACTTTTCAAAGTTTCATTTTAAGAAAATCCATATTTGTGCAGTAACAGCAAAAAATGATTTTCAACAACTTGACAAACATGAACTAGATTTAGCTACCTGTAATTTACCTATCTGTTTAATTAGTATGATTGTTTTGATAAGCATGCACTTTAGTTGTGATAACTACTTACACCTATTCCTCGAACGCCAACATAATTTTACAGGTAAACTGTCGGTAGATCAAAGGATGTTGGCATTCAAGGAATAAACCGAAGAAACATATGCTCTCTCTATTTCTTACAATCTAATCAAACTGCTTTTTGACAAAACCAGAGACATATATACATATGTATATATGTCTCTGACAAAACAAATCAAAAGAGAAAAGCTTACTATAGAGTCATTGATGTAAGTCGTCGCGTTTATAATATTTTTTAAAAGTCCAAAGCTAATTGCGAAATTAGAATCTTAAACTTATATTTAATGACGGCCTGGGTGGGGTTTACAGAATGATAAAAGAGAAAATTGGCAAAACAAAAAAAGAAATATAGAAAAATGGACCCAAAAAATATGAATAAAGAATAAATGGATGCTAAAATATAACGGTTAGAAAATAATAAGCAAAAATATAGAGAAAAATAACCTAAACAATAATAAGAATACAGAAAGGTTGAACCTTTCTTTTTCACAGATTATTAAGAGAGATACTGAGAGTTATGTGCATACACTGACAATAAGCCTAAGGCTATATCACTAATTACACAACATTTGTTAACTGATCATATTATGTTTATGCATTTAACTTTTTAAAATGTCATACCTGCGTTTTATGTAAAATGACAAAATATTACGTGTGCATCGAACATCCGTAATGTAGAAATTATGTCTAATACATAAGGGTATGGGCGAGGGAGTCTTCGTGTATTTAATCTTTAATGTTAAGGTAATTTTCTTTTTCTTTATATAAAAAAGAAGATGTGGTATGATTGCCAATGATACAACTATCCACAAGAGACCAAAAACACATAAATTAACAACTATAGGTCACCGTACGGCCTTCAACAATGAGCAAAGCCCATACCGCACAGTCAGCTATAAAAGGCCCCGAAATGACAATGTAAAACAATTCAAACGAGAAAACTAACGGCCTAACTTATGTACAAAATATGAACGAAAAACAAATATGTAACACATAAACAAACGACAACCACTGAATTACAGGCTCCTGACTTGGGACAGGCACATACATAAAGAATGTGGCGGGGTTAAACATGTTAGCGAAATCCCAACCCTCTCCCTGACCTGGGACAGTGGTGTAACAGTACAACATAAGAACGAACTATAAAAATCAGTTGAAAGAGGCTTAACTCTTAAGATGGATAAAAATACAAATACTACAAATACAAGTGGACGTGGCCGGGTACTTGTACATCCAAACAACAAAAAGACACTAAGTACAAATCTGAGAGTACTCGCAGTTACTGACAGCTAGTTCAAAGCCACTAACAACTAATAAAAAAAATCATGCATCTACGACTAAATTATCAATCCGTACACATCCAACATCCAATGGATTTAGTGTAAAGACGTCATAAACGTTATAGTTTTGTCCATTATTCTCCAGTTAATATCCCCATTATTCTGTTTACTAATTTCTCTCTATTCTATTTTTATTCCTTATATTTTATCCACCTATCAGTTTCTATTCTTTGATTTAAGTGACCATTATTTTCTATTCTGTAATGTCAATGCAGGCTCTTAAAAAAAGTCAAAATCAATAGAACAAAACTGTACAAGATTGGATACTTAATATAAGACTATACCTTAACATGATTTGATCCAAATCGATGTTTGATGCTGTTTTTATACAATTTTGATTAGACAACTTACTGATTGTAGGTTTTTTTTGGGTGTTATTTCTCGTGCCATTTAACAACTCCCAGACAAGGACAGAAGCTCGACAACGTTAATCGCAGAACTTCGGGAATTTTCGGTGATCCTCCAATCTTGCTTCGGATGTTGGCTATTTAGAACATTTATGTGGTTATGCTTATTGTTTAAGTCAAAATGATGTCATCAACTTTTTCTACTTCCATCTAACATTCTTCGAGTATTCTGACTTCTCGGTTTAATTGATTGTCTAGCAGTCGTTCTAACCTTAATTGTATTGTCTAGCATTCATTCTTACCTTAATCGTATTGTCTAGCAGTCATTCTTACCTTAATCGTATTGTCTAGTTAAGTAATAATTCCTTCATGTCATGCTCTATGCTCATTTTAACATGGGTAGGCATTATATTTGTCGATATTTTACACTGATGGTGGAAATGGCGGGTGACAGTTGCACATGAAGGTAAGACACATTTATTCCTTATTTACCATGTTAATAGTGATTGTTCCCCCAGTGATTGTAGCGTTGGTGAAAATGTTTAAATCGGACAGTGGATTTCTCGCTAAAGAGGATGAAACAGCGATCTGGCATAAATTATTCTGTGCAGATGTGGCACTAGCATTTGACTCTGTTTTGTTTTCATTCAAAGCAGAATCTGAATTGGCGGTTGCAACTCGCTGAAGTGTATTGGAAAGCTCTCTACGTTGCTTGTCAGTTGGACCTTCAATGTAGCTGTCCAAAGATTTAACATTCCGGTGTCCCGTTACAGACATAATAGCCCGGTCATCGACTCCCGCTCTTTTCAATCCTGTTGCCACAGTGGCTCTCAAGCAGTGGTTTGTGTATCTGATAGATAGACCAGCGTCTTCAGATATTCTTGACATCATACTTGCCAATTTGTTTTTGCCAATTGGTTGTGCAGCATACCATATAGTTGGTTTAGGATACTGGAGTGCTTGCTGAAAAAATGCTGTATACCTTGGACTAAGCTTTCCTAGATAAAAGTCCAAGCTAAACACTGGACAGTGAATGTCCCCAGGTTTAGCGTACATTCTTACGTCCCTTGAATTTTCTTTTGAGTCTACACCATGATGTGTTTTGTCACACTCATTGTAAGTCATTTTGTAGTACTCTTGTCCTTTGTCATCTTTACATTTTGCATAAGTTGTTTTCTTCAAATCAGTAAGCCCCTCCTTCCAAAATTCAGCATAATGTCCCAGAAAACTTTATTTTGGAGAGTTACTGGGTGATCAGTACTGAAGATTCCACTGGAATACAGCTTTTGGATATCACCTTCAGCTACAGCCTTTTTATGTACAGTTATATCTTTCCCTTCCCTTTTCAATTTTTTCATCATACCCGTGATTACATGATTTGATGGCATAAATGATTTGTCAGTAATTATGTTAATTTCCCGATTATAAGGAGGACCAGTTATATGCCTAGAAATAGCAGATCGAATTCCGACGAGTGCTGACTTTGAATAATCAGTGCCTTGTTTGGTCTGCAAACTTGCATAAAAGTAGCACAATCTGTCATTTAGGATAGTTTCATCCAGTTCCTCAAAACTGCTGCTGTACTTATTTTCAGTTAGCCAACCTGAAATTATTTGTACCATTTTTTTACGTATTCAAGTAATTCTTATAAATATTTTATTTAATTGTGATGAATTTTATATGCATATAATTTATTTCAAAGACTTGATTCATATAAATAAATAATAGAGGACTGTATATTGCTTTATGCATGTTTTAATTTAGCGTTTTATGCCAAAAGCATGTTGGTGTTCGTGCATATTTTGTACATGTAGACTAGAGCGAACTACGTATACAGTATTCTATCAATCTTTTTATTTAGACTAAAAACATGATATTCAGCTTGTCTTCTTTTCATGTACCAACATGTTCATGTCATTCAAAATTTTGTAGTGAAAATAAGTTATGCTTTTGCTGCTGTAATACTTAACGAAACAGTAAACCCTGGTAGTATTTTGGAAGTACACCTATCTATAGGAGGATGGGGTTCGATTCCCCACTGGGGTGTTTTGTTTACTACTTCAGCATGCTCATAACTGTTATGATAATTTATTTAATATATGTTTTCAAGTATGCTTGCATATATGATAAATAACACTACGTCAAGTACAATAAAAAAAATCAAATATCAAGGAATATTTTTATTTTAATTCTACATCTTGACAATGGAAAGTACATCTCATTTAAGAATACAACATTTGTAATTTGCATCATTTGATTTTTTTAATTTCTTGTTATTTAAGTTATATTCCATAACACTGAAGAGTAAATTTTATGTTTGAAAACGGTAAAAAAAAATATTGCTAGGTTGCTGACTCATTGCCGAATACCATTAGTACGGCATTACCTCACGATTTTCTATATTTATCATTAAAATGTTTTATTGAAACCAATTTACCATCAATTTATGATTATATTTTCTTTCCAATGTAATATTTTTGCATTTTATGGTTTTTACCTCTTAGAAGTTTGACACCCCATACTGTCTGCTGGTTGGTTCTTGGCTCAGTTCTTGCCAGCGCTAACTTTTCAATTTCTTCTTTGCTAGGCAGCTCCTTAAATCTTGACTTTTTGGCAGGTGGTTCTTGGTTTATACATTTAGCAGTTAAGTCTTCATCAATCTGAGATAGTCCTCATCTGACTGTGACTGTTCATTATTTTCAAAATTGAATATGGTGTCCTCTGTCAATTTTGAGAATGAGAAACTAACTCTGGCATCACATATCTCGTGTCTGAAAACCCTTTTTGTTCCTCCATCAGCCATAGATTGTATTATGTACTGCCTGACAGCATTGTGTTCCATAAAGTGGTCTGTTATCTTATAAGATGCCCCTTTATAATCTACTTTAAGTCCAATTTTCAACGGCGATACTGTGTATCTATACATTTTGACAGCAGACGATGAGTCATCGGCGCGCGGACATGTGCATTTACATGGGAGGTTTGCTAAATGGACGGAACAGCCGTAACAAACGCTGCCGGTTGCAGCCATTTTCAGCCATTTTCATATTAAATAAGCTTTTAAACACTAATAGAGGGAAATTATATGATGTTTTGCATCAATAACTGATAAATTTTATGTAAGCAGTTAAAATATATGAATTTTATGAAGATAAAAATGAAAACAACGAGAATGCAAATAGTAAGTTTATGCGCATGTGTCAAACATATTTTTTGTGCTAATTAGAACACAGCTTTGTTTACAAAGCGTAATAGGGACGTCATATTAGAATAGTCATTTTAACCTTAATCGTATTGTCTAGCAGTAATTTTAACCTTAATTGTATTGTCTAGCAGTCATTTTAACCTTAATTGTATTGTCTAGCAGTCATACTAACCTTAATCGTATTGTCTAGCAGTCATTCTAACCTTAATCGTATTGTCTAGCAGTCATTCTAACCTTACTCGTATTGTCTAGCAGTCATTCTAACGTTAATCGTATTGTGTAGCAGTCATTTTAACCTTAATCGTATTGTGTAGCAGTCATTCTAACCTTAATCGTATTGCCTAGCAGTCATTCATACCTTAATCGTATTGTCTAGCAGTCATTCTAACAATGACCTTTTCAAAGCTAACATTATACTGGATCCTTCCTGTCAGTGTGGATCTTATGTTGAGGATGTTCATCATTTCTTTTCGTTTGCCGAAAATACACTACTTCATAAAGTGTCATTGATACTGGCACGAACGATCATCGTCATCAAAACCTTAGTCATCATCACAGAATTAAATTTCTCAATCCGTGATTCTCTTTTTACCTATGTGTGACATTTTTACCTATTGTTTTTGTTTGTATTGTTCACACATCGTTGTCAATATAATGGAATTTGATGCGACTGTCATACAAGAGAGAGGTTTAGCTAGCTTTAAAACCAGGTTCAATCCACCATTTTCTACTTAAGAAAATGCCTGTACCAAGTTAGGAATATGACAGTTGTTATCCATTCGTTTGATGTGTTTGAACTTTTGATTTTGCCATTTGATTGGGGACTATCCTTTTTGAATTTTCCTCGGAGTTCAGTATTTTTGTGATTTTACTTTTTTTTTTTATAAAATCCGTATAATATCCACTATATTTGTTCGTTTTACATGCATGATCATAATATTTAGAATGTATATCTACTCATCATATTGTTAAGAAGACTTCATGGTTTACTTATGTCTCATCTATTTTACTTAGATTTAGCAAATAAAATATGTTAAAACTAAACTTATATTTGGGCAATACAAGTTATGATGATTCTTTTAGGCAGAACCAATATTTAAATCGTGACTGTAGCACCTCCTCATATATTTGGATATGTTAAATTAAGTGGGTTCACTTGAATATATTGGAAAGTACAACTTGCCCCTTACAAATGAGTACATTATCACTGAACTAGTACATATTTTTGTTTAGGGGCCAGCTGAAGCACGCCTCCGGGTGCGGGATTTTCTCGTCGGGTTGTTGTCTCTTTGACACATTCCCCATTTCCATTCTCTATTTTACTGGTAATCTTTTAGATATTCATTAGAGTCCAATTTTTGTTCGTCCTTAATTGTAGAAGTAAGTCCTTCTCATGAATACGAAATGAATCGTCAATATGTACTCAGTGGTTGATTCAGGGGGAATAGAGGGCGAAAGACCCATAAATTTGATCGAAAAAATATCATTTTAGCATAAATCGTCCAAAAAATGTTCGACTAGCTACTCTTACATTTTCCACAAATTCACTACCTTTCGCTGGATCTTAGATTCAAAACATACACAAACTCATACAACATCTCTGTCCAAATATATATTTATTATGTTTGAATAAGACATTGTCAACCAGTAAGTTAGATATTGTGGCCATTTTGATGGTCTTATCTTCACCAAAATAAAAATCTGTAGATGTTTAAATAATTTCATAGATTGGTGTTTTTAATCATGTTTTTCGAATGGTATGAAAGATGTTAAATTGGGCAAGCAACAGGAATGCTTCAATTTGTTTTGATGAACTGATAATTAAATTTTGGATGTAACACGTCTTCTGACTGTCTGAAAGTTTTTCGTTTATCAGCTCATAGCCTGACATAATATTGTCATGTGACCGTGACGTCATCAACGTTTTTTTCACGATTTACTCCATAAAAATGGAGTTTAGAATTTAATTATAAGGAATGACTGCAATATGTTTTCTGTCTATTCAAAATAACCTCAAAATGTGGTGAACACTTTTGAATAACCCGCGTATATGCAGTGGCAATGCTTAGATTCAAAATTCAGCGAGTTAACAAATAGGAATCTGATATAACTTAAGATTAGTGATGGGATGTGTAATAATTTATTCAATACAAAAATGCTGACCATTGATGAAGTACTAACTGTTATGTTGGTATGAAATACATAGCCTCTGAAAATAAATAAAAATATACATATATATCCAGATATAAGTAATAAATTGAAACAAAAAGATCTGAAATTGAGCGCACGTGCAGTACAACGTTGTTCTTTTCGCTTTAATTATTTCCCATTTTGTCATGTCGTGGCGTTTTATAGCTTACTGTACGGTAGCGGTTTTGCTCATTGTTGAAGGACGTATGGTGCAATATAGTTGCTTACCTCCAAGTCATTTGGACTTTAGTGAATAGTAATCTCACCAGCAATTATATACCCCATCTGTACTTGACATGAGTAGAATTAATACTAATGTCATTTTTAAAAAGAAGAAGAGTGAGTAAAAATCTGAAAATTACATTTATAAGCGAGTTATTTATCAATTGAATATCATTTTCCTTCCAAAACAGAAGTAACCGTGACAACAAACGTGATTTTTTTCTGTTGTCATATTGTTTCGTTCAGTTTTAAATGATAGAAATGATGGCGCAAAATATGTCAGTAAAATGCAAAATTAGGAAACATAACATTAGTATACATTCTACTTATGTCATGTACAGAAGGATGACTATGGATCATATTCTCCTGTATACTTAAATGCATGTATTTATATAGCGAACAAGAGGAAGACAATGTGTACCGAATAAGTCCCGCTTTTTCGAACCCACACAAATAGATCTCAAATCCATGAACAAACCACTTCGATACCTGCAATAATTTAACTTCTAGCACAATGATATTGTATCAGAGTGGCGAAAGACAACAAGGGATATTCAAAACACAACATAGATAACTAAAGACTGTGCAAAACAAACCCCACCAAAAGCTGGGACCGGAAAGGTAGCAGATCAACTATGAATAGCTGTATGCATTATAATCCCGAAATCCATGTTTTCTGTGATTTTGTATTCAATATTTAATATCATTTATTGTGTTTTCCTTTGTTAGAATCAAAGCTCAGTAAATGGAATTAAGAATGTCTGTAATGACTATGGGTCGCTTACATCATCTACGATCTCTTTCTTTTTTGATGTCGGACAGAAGTTGACGTTTAGGTCGTTGCGACTCCGCCACCTCCACTACTTCCGCTGCTACTGTCCTTTACGTCACAGAACAACAAACAAAGAACCGCTCCAGCAAAAACAGCTTGTTAAAAAGAAAATATCACACATTAAACTTTGTTTAGAGCATAATTACATGATATACACCACCATTGTTTAGTGTTGTCATTTTACAATTATTTTATCTACAAAAGGGCTTTTGTAAAGTAAGGTCCTTGACTACTTTGTTAAATTGTATTTCTATTTTGTTAAAATTTCAATAATGAATACTGTTTAAACTAAAGCACGGTCCTAGGTAGCCGAGTGTAATTGTTTATACAAACATTTCTTGATTATTGCTACATGCAGTGTTAAATTAATCACATTAGAATTATATGCTTTCTTTCACAAGCTATGACTTTTAGACGTTTTTAACATTATTCCATTTGGAAAACCCCAATTTTTATCGGCCGTTCAAAACTTACACTATTACTTCCGGTCGACCCCATTTGCAAAACCTTCACAATTGATGTATTGCTCAACTTGTTTTCTCCTTAGTATACATGAAACATTTGCCACTAGACGTTAATGATCACAGAACATTAATCAATCCATCAATTAACGAAGACAATTGTCGAAGGAATGCAAAACAGGAAAGATAACCAGTGAAAACTAGAATGGAGAACATTTTATAATGCGCATGTGAGAGTTTATTAACAGCTCAGAAACTGTAGTTGTATTTTCGCCCATGTATCAAAACATAAGCTCAAACGAGTTATATTATCCGTATTCGTTTGGCAGATAATATATTGAACTTGGTTTCCTGTAGGACATCTGATAGTAAATTAATTTCCCCCCCCCCTCCCCCCGTAAAAAAACCAAAACATTTGGCCAATGTTTTTGAATCGAAAATTAAAAAAAGAATGATTAAAAACACTGATTAACTTTTAGACTAATTGACAATGGAAAAGATTTTCAAGTCGCTGGTCACTTTCAGAATTTTGTCCCTCACTTTAGTCTACTCTCACTCCATTGCAATTGGCACTTTTTAATGATATATTCTTAGAAGATCCATAATGGAGTCGTTTTGCGTATCTCTACCATTTGGTTTGTGTGTCTGTATGTGTGTGTGGGGGAGGGTGTAATTTTATTTTTAAATTAAAAATTATTCATGCTGAAAAAGAGTTACTAGTTCCAACAATGTTATCGTTGCTTATGTGAAATATATTGTTAATCATCAACAGTTTAATGGACTATAAAAAGATACAAAAATATCGTAGAATTAATCGTACTCATTTCAATCCAGGAGTTGCTGGATGTTGTTAATGCGCCTCCAGTGGCAAGAATACTGTTGCCATCGTAATATTCGGGAATCTGTCCTAGGACCACATTACACAACAATCCCAAGATCGAAATCATTGGAATAAAAATGGCCATGATGGTATGATCTTTCGAACAAACTAAAACAATAGTCATAGATGATACATGTACTTGTACCTGAATAAAATATAGTCGACACAATTTATAAGACAGGTCACAATCGTACAATCTGCAGCAGCAGATATTGGTCGTGAGCGTTTGTTTACTCCTGCAGTCCGGTTTCTACCTCATTGTACTAAATCACTTCAATATATAACGTTATTATAAACAGATATTGGTTTATTGCTCCATTACTTTTTAACTTTGTCAAAAAAAAAACTATTTTATAGAAAATAAATACCCATTAAGAAATATGTTGCCATAAAAAAGAATAAAATAAGAAAGAAAAAATGGACTGCTGAAAAAGTGTCCAAAGCCTCACTGTGACTTTGAGATGAAGAACATCAACAAAAGCGCTGTTCGAACTTCCTTTGCTTTATGTGTCTTTTTTGCTGTGCATGTACTTATTTTGTGTCATGGATGTATACCCCATATCCTTTGTTTTTCTATTGCATGTACATGTAAGATGTTATACCTGTGCTGACTTCCCAAATATGTTTTTTTTATGTTGAAATAAGAACTGGATTATAAACTATGATTTATTACAGTAGAAAATCATCTTCTTACCTTCTTATCTCTATTCAACTGTCCCTTGACTTAATAAAATTGACCAACATCTCACATGTCACATGTAATACTATCTTCCTATTCAAGTATAATAAATCTTTATATGTGTACGTAACAAAACTAAAATCGTGTCTTAGACAGCCAGTTCATTAGGTACAAGTATGTTGTGTGGTCAGTCTCGTTCCATCAAAATATCACCTTAATAGAACTGGAAACCTTAAACTGGACAAACATATTTAACCATCGACCATCTTAAATACACGTTACACAGTAGATCAAACGTTCAGATTAGGAAATCGGCTTATTTCGCAACATATTTGAGGGCCTGGGTCGAGGAGTCTTCATTTGTCAACTCTTTCAGTTCTTAAGCCATTTTTCTATATTCTTCATGATTTTGTCATTATTCTTTATTTTCTTATATTTAAGCATCCCATTATTCTCTATTCTTTTTTGGGGTCCTATTTTCTCTATTCTTTATATTTGATTTTATTTTTTTTCCAATTATTTTCTATTCTGTTAATCCTATCCAGACTCATCACAATTAATAGTTTTTTCTCCAATGTTTTGTCTTCTATCTATATTTTGACATAGATATGATCCAACTTCCAAGCAAGGACAGAGACTGATTAAATCGGCAATCATACCACATGACTTGGGGAAATGTCGGATAGCCTACAATCTTGCTTTGGAAGTTGAAATATGATACAGTTTTAAGGGCAACATAGTGTTGTTACATTATTGATCCAGCTAGGTTACTGGAAAAGTTCAATGGACAAACCTCGACAGATTCCGCTATCCTACATATTGTTAGTTCGGTCGAGGTTTGCCGAATGCATGGAGAAGAGTTGATTGTATCAAACATGTGTAACCCATATACATTCTTTATGTGTCAGCCCTGTAAGTCAGGATGCTGTAAGAGGATGGTTGTCGTTGGTTGATGTATTCCGTATATTTTGTTTATGGTTTATTGTTTTAGCATAAATCAGATTGTTGTTTTCTCTGTACTCTATATACCATGGTTCTTTGGAGTTAATATATTTAAACAACCGAATCCTAAGGATGAGTTATGAGTAAGACACGTGATATATACTTTGTATGCTATATGGTTTGTGATATAAATATAATGATTGACAGCTTGAACTAAATGATCATGACTGTTTCCGTTTTATCCAATGAGACTGAGGCTAGTGCAAGTCGGTATTGCAATTGACTTACAATGGTGTTCTGCTACAAATGCAGATTTTTATAACAAGAATATTAAACATTATTCTTACGACGGTAAATTTTGTTTTATTGTTAATTTTCAAGATATTCTACAAACATTTTTATTTACAGGTTGCTCATTTTATTTAAAAAAAAACGTGTAAATTTACCTCTTAGCTTTTCGTACAAACGGTTTTGTCGATTTGTTTATTAATATATGTCCAGAATGTCTTTAAGTGAGCATAAAACACTATACGATTTGTTTTTTTCTTTTTTGTAGGATTGGTTAATCATTATTATGGTTCTCATTTAAGATGAGGGTCTGGATAGGGTTTACAGAATAGATAATAAATTTAATGAGTACAAAGTGAAAAATATGTGCCAGAACATATAAAGAATAGAGAAAAATAGGCAAAAAAAGAGAAACTGGTCTAAAATTAAAAAAAAAAAATGAAGGACAGCCCACCCCATCCAGATCCTCTAAAATTATATCTATACAAATTTTTGAGAGGCGGAAAACCACTACTTTAAGACTAAATATTCCTAAATATTGAGAAGCGGACATCTTTCAGAAAATGGGGTGTAACTTCAGCCAGGGAATAACATCAAAATGAACATATCTAAACTCCACTTACTTTCCTCTTTGGCGTCTGTTGCAGTAAGAGACCTACCTATTCGCAAATAGAATAGATAATGGAAACGGGGAATGTGTCAAAGAGACAACCAGCCGACCAAAGAGCAGAAAACAGCTCAAGGCCACCAATGGGTCTTAAACGCAGCAAGAAAATCCCGCACCCGGAGGCGGGCTTCAGCTTGTTCCTAAACAATAGCGTTTACTATTTCAGCAAAATTGACGCCACACTAAACTCAAAACATACCAATGAACCAAAATTAAAAAAAACACACACACACAAGACTAACAAAGGCTAGAGCTTCCTGACTTTGGACAGGGGCAAAATTGCGGGGAGGTTAAACATGTTTTGTAAGATCTCAACCCTCCCCTATACCTCTAGCCAATGTTGACAAAACAAACACATAGCAAAACGCAGTGTAAAAGAAGTCCGAGTCCGATGTTAGAATAGCTAACAGAGAAACTAAGCAAAATGACAATAATCAACATAAATTAACAAAGGACTACTAGCAGTTACTGACATGCCTTCTTCAGACTTCAATTAAACTGATCGAATGATTATGTATTTATCATATTAAAATCAACCACAATCCCTCTTGTTATGGGTTAAGTATCAAGCCATCATAAATTATACGAGAAGGACATGACCCGTATCATGCCAACAACTGGTTTTAGAATAGCCTATTACAGTAACTGCAGGCATATGTTATTTGCTGTGAATAACATTGAAAATGTGTTACCTTTATAAAATTGAGAATGGAAATGGGGAATGTGTCAAAGAGACAACAACCCGACCATAGAACAGACAACAGTAGAAGGTCACCAATGGGTCTTCAATGCAGCGAGAAATTCCCGCAACCGGAGGCGTCCTTCAGCTGGCTCCTAAACAAATATATATACTAGTTCAGTGATAATGAACGCCATACTAAACTCCAAATTGTACACAAGAAACTAAAATTAAAAATAATACAAGACTAACAAAGGCTAGAGGCTCCTGGGTCTTCAACGCAGTGAGAAAATCCCGCACCCAGAGGTGGTCCTCAGCTGGCCCCTAAATAAAATTGTGTACTAGTTCATTAAAAATGGACATCACACTTAACTCCAAAACATATAACTTAATTAAAATTAAAAAATATACACGTGACTAACAAAGGCCAGAGGCTCATGACTTGGGACAGGCGCAAAAATGCGGCGGGGTTAAACATGTTTATGAGATCTCAACCCTCCCCCTATACCCTTAGCCAATGTAGAAAAGTAAACGCATAACAATACGCACATTAAAATTCAGTTCAAGAGAAGTCCGAGTCTGATGTCAGAAGATGTAACCAAAGAAAATAAACAAAATGACAATAATACATAAATAACAACAGACTACTAGCAGTTAACTGACATGCCAGCTCCAGACTTCAATTAAACTGATTGAAAGATTATGTCTTCATCATATGAATATCAGGCACAATCCTTCCCGTTAGGGGTTTAGTATCATACCATCATAACATATATGAGAAGAACATAACCCGTGTCATGCTAACAACTGGTTTTATGTTTGTTTCTCTTCATCAAGTATACGAGGAGGTTTGCGAGAGATTAAAAGAGCATCGTTTTTAGTGCCTGTTGCAGCTAATCAATCAAATATATACATTTCCAGTAAATATAGATACATTATAAAAAACAAATTATAGTAATACATAATAAAAATTATTTTGACTCAACTTAGACGCTCAGACTCTTTTTAGGTGACTGAGAACTTAACAAAGTCATCTTATTTCAGATCCGTCTTGTCGCTGTGGTGCTAACCGCAAAGATTCAGTTGCTGTGGTGCTAACCGCGAAGATTCAGCCACTGTGGTGCTAACCGCGAAGATTCAGTCGATGTGGTGCTAACCGCGATGATTCAGTCGATGTGGTGCTAACCGCGATGATTCAATCGCTGTGGTGCTAACCGCGAAGATTCACATCCCTTCTTTTTTTTATTGTCCTAATTATGCTCATATAAGAATCATCATATCTAATAATCTGAACTGGTTACCCTATAACTTTTAGAATACTATTTTCCGTTATACAGTTAGATTTTGCATACATGTTAAATCGCTGCTTTTTTACTGTTCTGATGGAAAAGTTTTCAGTGTTGGTGACTTTGCAGCACTAGCAACTGCTTCTGCCGCATGGTTTTTAAACACCCGATTATCGAGGTCTCTTGTTTGTTTACTTAAGATGTAACAAGTATATTATCTTTGAGATTGTTTGGTCTGCGGTAGCCATAACAGGAGGTGGTGGAAAAATCTCTCTAAGGAAGAATCATTTTCAATAAACGCCAGTGTTTGAGGATAATAGATGAAATTTTTGTCAGATCGGGATAAAAGGAGACAAAAAATAGAAGTATATTTGTGCAGGCCGTCTTATCTTTGTTTTCCATGAAAATCACTCTATCTTATTCTTGAGCTTTACCAAATTGCTTGAATTTTTAAGAGAAAAAATTGCTTTTCTCGACACCACCACATTTGTAAAACATAACTGATCTCTACACTTTGAAAATTGACAAACACCAATTTCTCTCTCCGAAGAGTTGTCACCTGAAATACTGCTCCTTAGTCAAGCCATCAGACTAAAGCGAATTTGCTCCTCAGAATCATATCTCAACTACTATTTGGACAACTCAGAAAACAACTCAAATCAAGAGGGTACAAAAACAAAACATCACAGAAACTTTCGGTAAAGCTCAAGACAAAGATAGAAAGATCTTCATGGTATACAATACATTTGGCTTAAGACTGCTGATGACAAAGGGGGATCAGTTTGTTTTCACGATTTTTTTTAATTGCTCATCGACAATTAAAGGCAAAGACAGCTTATTGATTTCAAATCTCATACATCCATTAATAAGACACAAATCAAGGTAAAGAAATAAAAATTGAACGAACCGCATTTAGAAACTTCAAAAGGAGCGAGACCGATTGTGTCGACAGCGTAAGCGTCGACAGCGTAAGCGTCGCCTGCTATGCATGTATCACCCGTCATATTAAGCCATGGCCACGATCAGTCAAAATGTCGCAATCGGGACTAGGAAAAAATGTCATTTCAAAGATTCTTTCTTTGATTACTAAACAGTACTATACAGAAATGTTAAAAAAAAATTTTGGCAAGTTTTCATAAGCCGAAACAACTGAGTTTTTTTCTGGCCCGACAAGGTAATTATGAGGAGATATTCCAATTGATTTGTAGGGCACATTCAAATATATTGTTGTTTTTAAATCGATTTATTCGCAATCCACCAAACTTTATAATCAACATCGTCATTCCTAACAGCCATTCACAACTGAAATGATAAAGTAAAAAATGTTACGCATCATCTAAAATTACCTCTTTAATAATTCTGACTTATGAAGCTAGAATCAAATTTATGTATACTTTATGAGAGAATGACATAATTGGAATTATTGTAAAATTCATTAGTGATATGTACAATACTAGAAGAAGGTATGGATGGGGTTAACAGAACAGAGAAATAGCCAAAAAATAAAGAAATAGAAAAAAAAACCGGGTCAAACAAATAAAAATAGAGAATAATGGGATGCTAAAAGATAAAGAATAGAGAAAAATGACCTAAATATTAAAGAATACAGAACTGAAGATCCCCCATCCAGACCCTCCTAGAAATGCTTTCTTGAATGACAAATAACTTTATGGTACTACCTCCTCAGAGTGAGACCAGATTATACAAATATATATCAAATTCAATGTTATTTTCTTTTTCAATCATGGAGGGCATATATATATATATATATTATAGACTCTATATATATATATATATATATATAGAAGTCTATAAAAAGGACCAACCAGCAAATTTACTATGTACCGGATCGTGTAGAATAGACGATACTGTGCAGACAAGGAAAAAATCATATAAGTCTAGAGATTTGCACAACGATACTAATATAAGATGGTATTATACGAAGATGTTGTTATTAAATCGTGTTGACAAATATTTCGGCTTAACAAATAGCCTTCTTCAGTGTCAATAATTTTAACAATACATATATATATATATAATTCTTTTTCTTATTTCGAATGGATCAATAAAAAAGATGTAATGTACTAAAAGTGAAAACAATGAGCATCATGGCAATCCTGGGATTTCGTTAAGATTTTAAAGTAAATTTTTAAAAATTCGCCTACTACTTTAACATTAGCTTAGACGTGATGCCTATTTAGTGGAGTGGATCTTTATTTGAGTGTCTTAAAAAACCAAACCTAACTTGATTGTTACTGTCTTCTGCATGTTATGGTATTATTTCTTCTTCCTTGTCATCGTTTTGCATGCCAAACAAAACGAGAAACCCCAACGACGCTAAAACAACTAAAACAGAAGGAAATATTGGAAACCATTATAAAATATTTTACAATTATATATCTTACAATTAGATATTTTACAATAACATTTTTTACAATTACATTTTTTACAGTTACATATTTTATAAGTCAATTAACTAACTTACACATTTTGATATATCCATTGTGAATGATATCAAATATAAATCTGATAATAGATAATTAAATGTTTAAATGAACATCTTTAATATAATATCGTGCCGTCCCTAAGTAAGAATAGAAGGACAGCATTATATTCTTATCTAGGGACGGCACGATTAATAAACAACAGTTATTGTAGACCGTATGGAGAAGAGCAAGTATACTATGAATAAAGGGAAAATAAATGGATGTCCATGGCCCCCGTGTGTGTTTATATTGTAATGTTTTTTTAAAGAATTTTGTGTAGATGGCAAAACACTTTTAGATTTATATTCAATAATTTTGCCAAAGAATTTGGAGTGAAATTGCACCCTCCCCTCGGGCCCTATTCCCTTGCTACTTAAGGTTTACTGAAAATGTCATACCAAATTCAATACCAAATCCTGCCGGCGGATATTTGCCCCTATTTAACAACGGACTGTTCTCGTCGTTGTAGTAAGAGCTCGGAATCTGTCCATAGACAACAAACACATGATAAAGCAACACAAAACAACATGTCCACTGGTTTGAAATGCCCATGATGATCTGAAATTATAAAAAGTACAGCTTTCATCTGAGGTAATTTGTTATTATAGGTGTCAGACCACCAAGTCACTCACTTCAATTTAGAACATATTGTAGCTCTTCCCTGACAAAAAGTAGTGATTTTGATGTCATTGTTTACTTAAAACTAACAAACAAACTTGCAGAAATGAAACTTTTGTTGAAAGAGAAATACATGTAGACCATTTTGAGTCTAATTTACTAGTCTATGATTTTGCATTAAAAATAGAGGATTAATATGCTACATAGTATACTTATTTAAGATTTCAGAAAACAGCGTTTCACTGCAAGACTTTAAACATTGGTTGAAATAAGCATATAGAAAGGTGATACATGTACACTTCAGAATATACCTGGTTTCTATAAAGTTACACTTAAGGTAAAACATTTAGAAATCTGTGGAAATTTTAAAAATTTGGTTGATTATATAGGGGTTTTGAATTGGTGGTCTGACACCTATATTGACACGAAAGTAATGAAACATTTGTGGGTTAATTTCCTTTGAAAACTATATCGGTATACTATTAATCGATGAGTCTTCTTTGTGCGCGTGAATACTAATTTAGAGGTAACATTTGTGCTGTTTCACTACTGTCACAGGTTAGGGGAGGGTTGGGCGCCCGCAAACATGATTAACCCCGCCACATTATGTATGTGTCTGTCCTAAGTCTGGAGCCTGTAGTTCTGTTTTGTTATGAATTAGGCCGTTAGGGCTTTTTATAGCCAACAATATGGTATTGGTTTGCTAATTGTCGAAGGCATATACAGTGACCTATAGTTGTTAACTTCTATGTCATTTGGTCTCTGGTGGAGAGCCTGTCTTATTGGCAATCATATCACATCGTCTTATTTTTATAATCAAACTAGTTTTGTTAAAGCTAATCAAAAGAAAAGAGCAACGACTGTAAATGCATATAGTATATCCCTATGCAGTGGCGAATCCAGGTGTAGAAGACGTAGCCAACTCCCCTCCCCCTTTTTTGATTTGAAAACATATAATTTTTAGCATTAACTCGACCAAATGGAATTATGCCCCCTTTAACACGTCCAAATCTAATTGCGAATAAACTCATCATAGATACCAGGAATAAAATTTTGTACGCCAAACGAGTTTTTCGTCTACATTAAAGACTCATCGGTGACGCTCGAATCAAAAACGATGTAAAACTAGCTCAAGTAAAGTACGAAGTTAAAGAGCATTGAGGACCAAAAATTCAGAAAGGTTTTGCCAAATACAGCTAATGTAATGTATTCCTTGGGTAGAAAAAAAAATAGTATTTCATAAAAGTCAATAATTATGAAATTAGAATTTTAAAGAATGTGACCTACCAAGTTAGACTTATCACCGGGCCCCGGCACCATAAAACTTTTATTTTCTGAGAAAAAAAATGTTCTCAGAATAAATTATATTATTCAGCTAAGAATGGGAACTTTTTTCTCTGCCATAAAAAAATATTCTCAACATTGAGAATATTCTCAGCTGAGAATTTTTTTCTCAGCGATGTAAGCGGTAAATTAGATGTTTGAAAACTAAAAAAGTGTACTAAACTTCGCGAAAATGCAGGTTTTACCTCTTTTGCAATAAAATAATGTAAAACATAAAAGGAACATATGATAGAGTAGCTATAATACGCAGGTGACAAAAATAAAGGTTTGGGGCTGTCACATAGACATATACCCTTATATCCTTTTATTCACATATACATGTACATGAGTATACTAAAATGCGGCAATTGACATTTGAACGAAATGGCAAGACATTTGAGCGATAAAAAAGGACGTTTGAGCGCCAAAATTTTAGGACAATTGTGCGAAAAAAAAAATAAGTATAGGACATTTGAGCGAAAAAAAAATAAGAATGATGAAGAAGAACATGTTCCGTTCGCGAGATTTAATCTGTTACCCCTGCTCACCACGGGAAAGATGAAGTATGATTTTGAGCAGGATATAGTTAATAAAATGTTGAGTTTAAAACATCTTTTAAGTGTAAATAAAAATCAAAGCACTGTTATAATAATTGAAATGGCAATGGCATTATTTAAAAGTCAGTACGGGCTAGAAATTGATATCCTAGCATTTTGACATAAAAATCCCTCGTTATTTCCTGCTGGCAGTACGGGAGTACAAGTCCATGAGATTCTGGTCCATTGTTTGTACGTTTTGACTTCTCTTTTTAGTGTTTTGTACCACTCTATATCGGAAACTGTCACAAACAAAGCTCTTTTTTCCTTTATTAGTCTCGGTCAAAATTTTATCAATTTTAACATGTACATGTATTAGTATTAAGATGTCAAGTGCCAAAGGATATTAATAAATATAATTAATTTAGAACAAAGAAAATTTGAAAATCCAATGAATTATGGTAGAATTGATTGGTAAGTAGAACTTGCAAGAACCGGTCGAATTACTCGGGTAATTAAAATATATTCATTTTAAAAACATAATTTTTTTTTCTTACTTTTTGTCGAGCCTGCGAAATTTATTGAGCGAAAGCGGACATAGCGATCAAAGATACCGTTGTCGCCGTTGTCGCCGTCGGCGGCGTCAACATTTAGGCGCAGCCTGTGGTTAAAGTTTTTTTTAGACATCAATAACTTGTCAAACCTTCTTTTATGAAATTTGGACAGAAGCTTGATCATGCCAAAAATACAGTATCCAGAGCAATTTTTGAAATTTTTTTTTTATTTTTTCCATATTTTAATGATAAATGAACTTAGTTTATTTCACAGTTAACAAGAAGATACAGTCTGGAGTTTAAATTTGTTACACATCAAATACTTTGCCAAACCTTCGTAGAATTTTACGAAACTTTAACAGAAGCTTTTTTTTATTATTATGAGATAGTGTCTGGTGCAAAGTTTTGAAAATATATTTTCATTTTCAGTATTTTTCTGATAGATGAACTAACTAGTTTTTACAGTTAACATTTACAGACAGTCTGGGATTAAATTTTTTTGGCATGATAAGTTTGTAAACTTTCATGGATTGTTATGAAATTTGGACAGAAGCTAATCTCCAAGACCAAGAAATAGCATCTAAGAATTTTTTTTTCTAATCTGTATTTTACTGATAAAGGAACCCCTTACGAATTTTTAAAAGATATTTTCTGAATTCATATACAAGTATCACAGAATATTTCGCTCAAACGTCCAATTTGAAAATACAGGTAAGGTTAATATTCCGGCGCTCAAATTACCCTATGTACATTTTTAATTTTTGCTCAAATGTCCTATGCCCACTAAAATGTAGGTGATTTCATACTACAACAAAAAAAGAGCAGTGAAACTATTTCACACTGTGTGTACTTAAATGAGCAACACGACTGGATCCACATAAAGAGCAGGATCTACTAACCCTTCTAGAATTTTTGGTTGGTATCATGTTGCGCAGTCGTTATTTTTCTATGTTGTGTTTTGTGTACTTTTTTTTTTTTGTCTTTTCGTCGTTTTATGACACGGCATTGTCAGTTTGTTTTCGACTTCTAAGTTTAAATATCCCTTTGGTATCTTTCGCCCTCCTTTAAGTTAACACTCTTGTTGCCGGAGGGACACATGTGTCCACACCGGCTGTGCCGGATGAACACATATGTCCATGTTTAAATTTACGCAAGCTTCTCATCACTGCTGTATCTCTTTTAAATAAAATACCGAAGATTAAAAAGAGTTAATATTTTTTTTCATCAGGTCCCCAATGAATGTCATTAGGGCGTGACATCCTATATCGAATGACTACATTGATGGGCATATGACGTCACAGATGTCCAGCTGTAGTATTTTCTGGCACACGAAATGCAACCATATAAAACTACCGGCAGCAAGAGGGTTAAAGAGAGAGAGATTTGTGTGCATAAACTGACAAAGAAGCTAAAGACTATATCAATAATAACACAAATTTTAATACGTGATAACATGTTTATGCATTTAACTGTTTAATGTGTCATACTAGTACCTGAGTTTTGTGTAAATTGATGAAATGTTACATTGTACATCCGTATTGCAGACATTGTCTCTAACAAAGTCCGATTTAGGAGGCAGGGTGCCCGGCCCCCTATTGAGCAACATTTATGGTTAATGCAGCTTTTTTACCTGTTCCACTCCAAATGTTGCCTAGTTTGGGGCCCTATATATTAATGCAGAATTATGTCCACACGTAGAAAATCAAAGAGGACGATCTCTCATTTAGTATGCAATTCTGCATTAATATTTTATCTTTACTTTGTTTCTCTTGTGAGTTCCTCGTTTACCGTAATATTTTAATATGGAGAGTGTCTGCAGACCGGTATGTATTTAGTGAATGTCACGTTCCATCGTACGTAAAAAGGAACTTTTTGTAGATTTCGAAAAAAAATCGCTACAGAAAGTTAACTTTCCCTCTTAACCAATCCTCCCCGTTTCTCATAGTATTTAAAGTTTATAAACCCTTTATCAACTTAAAAACCTGGAAAACTGCTTTCAACATACAACTGACCTTTTCATCGACATGAAAAGCATGTAGTTTTGTGTAGACTATCGCACTTCAGCGTTGCCACAATCGCACTGCGGCGTAGCCTTGGTGATGCATTACTAACCCCTCGGGTTGTTACATGTACCCTGCGTCAATGCAATGTTAAACCCAATATATATTTTGACAGAAATTAACCTTTTCACTTGATATCTTTCGCATTGATTTTTCTTTTGGAAATACAAATATTGAGTTTCATTGTTTGATTTTTTTTAAAGATATAGAAATAAATTGTGTTATAACCAGGGTAACATCCGAGGTGTTTGGTAAGTGTCACCTTGTATAAACATTTAAAAAATATTATCATTTATGATGTTCGGAATAATATACACAGAAGTTACATGAAAATGAATCTTCAAAATGATAACTATAGAAAATTCAATGAAATCGATCATTTACTTTGACTTTATCTTAAAACCCGTTATTGTCGACAAAATTATTCTATTAAAAGGGATAATGTTGAGGAACTTACTTCT